TTCAATGTTACATTACTGATTCAGATGGCAGCAACAGAACTGGTGGGACTTAAACTACTGCTCGAGGCAGCAGAAAGCTTTCTCATGCAGAGGAAGAGTGCTTTCTTAGAGTAAACATTAACCAAAGCATGTGAAGAAAAATGAAAAAAAAACAGTGGTCAGAATTCTGACTTTGTCCTCAGAATTCTGACTTGAAACTGAATAAGAACAGAGCGCATGCCGTCACATGGGGCCGCCTGGAGAAAAAGCGTTGCAGCTTCATTCCAGAGCGCCTCGCCTTTTAAAAAAGATATCTATTTGAACCTTCAGAAAAGCGCTGGTGACGTCACGGTAGAAATTGGTGGAGAAGCTTGTTTTTGAGACAAAAAGACAGAAAACCTGTTTGCTGTAGCATAGCAACCGGTAGTGTTGCTGCCGGTGAGTGTAAACTAAAGCTCTTTCAGACAACGTGTGAGAGCAGAATATCTAATGAAATCATATTTGATTAACTTATAACCATACCCAGTTTAGGCATACATCTGGAGGATAACATGGCCGAGACCACTGTAGTACCTTGGTGAGCGTTTCCATGGTGAGAGACCACTCAGTGACCAGCTCGTCCCAGCAGGTGAGAGAGGAGAGGACGGAGAGCAGGTCGTCCCACAGCTCTCTGCTGATGTACACGTTCAGATTCCCCTTGATCCACGCCACGATCAGCGTCTGAGCACAGGGGGGGGCGAGAGGACAGAGAGTCTCATTAGGAAAGGCTGGAATCCAGCGTTCTACTCATTGAAACTCAATACAAGTCTTCTCGGCACAATTCAACCTAATTTACCTCAAAAACATGTTTTTATTTTTGGTACCTGAAAGATGGGTCCGGCCAGCCTGCCTGACAGCGTGTTGTTCTTCTTGCCCTGGGGCATGATGGATGGAGGCCTTTTCATCACAGACTCCGTCACCCTCAGCATAACCAGTAAGGCCTGCTCCCTGTAATCAAAGAACACTATTCATTCATATAAAGTCATGTAGATCCTTCCTTTACCTATGAAAAGAGAATTAGCTTCCCAAATCCCCCAATAAGATCGCTTTTTTTAAACGTATTTTCATCAAGACATGAATTGTTTGTGTTGTCGTCCCTGTACAAGATCTTTTTTAATATTTTTTTGCACAATTAAAAATAGACGCACATAAAATACAAACAGTGCAGGAACAGGCAAGAAAACCCATTTGTCTTTTTTGGAACCACCGAACAGCGTTAAAAATCCCAATTTATAGGAAAATACAAACAATAGCTCAAATGAAATGATGATGGAAAAACAGGAGGTAAATCATCTTTCAGGTATTTTACCATGTTTTCTGGTCCATGGTCTCGTGCATGACGAGGCTGCGGTAGATGTTCAGGACGCGCTTGCACATGTCCACGTGCTCCTCCAGAAGGATCTTGATGTCGTTGGCTGGCTCCAGAAGGAACACGTTGGAGGAGTGGGTGATGAATACCTGAGAAGGAGACGAGATACTACAATTAGGAAATGTAACAACTTGACACTGCAACGATGAGACTGAGAATGTGTGTGTATGAAGGGATGTGTGTGTGTGTGTGTGTGTGTGTGTGTGTGTGTGTGTGTGTGTGTGTGTGTGTGTGTGTGTGTGTGTGTGTGTGTGTGTGTGTGTGTGTGTGTGTGTGTGACACACCTGTAGTGTGGTCTGAACTCCAGCATGGACGCTGTACTCCAGCAGTTCCTCATCCACTGCTCTGTTCATTCCCTGAGGGAGAGAGACGAGAACACATTAAGATATAATGACCTGACCACATTCAGGCATTCACACACATTTTCTATCTTACTAAATATATCATTTGTGAACTAATTATATTTAAAATTGGGACTGCACGCCAACTTCAGTGTTAATTGAAGAAATGTAAATGTTAAATATTTCTCGTTTTTGTCTTTCTCCATCAACTAAAAGTGAGTCAATAAAAAAAGTGTGAGGTTAAATCTTAAACAGTAAGCTAAATGAACTTTGAGTATAGCTGGCACAGTTTTGCAAAGTAACTTTAATCCACAGTAAATCTTCATACCATTTTCTTATTGTTGTCCCCTTCCCCCTTCTCTCCCACCCCACTCTCCCAGACACACTAATACAACTCGCCTCGTCCTCCTTCTCTCCGAGCTGGGAGCCCGAGTCCAGGCTGCCAGTGGGGGGGTAGGGGCCCTCCTCCGGCTCCTTCATGAACACTGGCCTGCCCTCCATGGCGATCCACTCCTGGTAAACACGCACCACTTTGCGCATCGCCGCAGCTTCACACATGGGGAGGAGGAAGGCCTATAGGTGGAGAAAGGAAGATGTGACTTGAATGTGGACATTCAATCCACCTGATCTACTGCAGCCATACGAGGACATATCTCAGAGCACTGCTTTGTAATCAGCTTTCATTTGTTATCTAATTAAATATGATAGTATTTTCAATGTAACTTATTGTTATTATTTGACTTTTTTTCCCATCGTTTAAAACAAAAAATGTAAGGCATATGATAAGGCCTGTTTCTTTGCTTGGTTTTACTTGTATTTTTTGTAAAATATGAGTTTGTATTCTGAACGAAAAGACTTTGGAGAAAAATATCTATAAGTAATAAGTGTTTACATTTCATTTAAATGTACTGCAGACACAACCTAACATTTAAGATTGAAATCATAGAAGACCCTCCCCACTCCTTCACCTGTCTAAAGATCTCGGTGATGAAGTTGACGTTGGTTCTGGAGGAGGTCAGGACCCTCCTCACCACCTCCATGTCCGTGAGCTGCTCTTCATCCATGGAGCAGAGCGAGGAGGAGCTGGGCTCCCTCTCCGTCAGTGTGGAGGTGTTGGAGTGGCTTTGTTCCGGCTCACACCCGGACCCCAGACCCCCGGACAGCCCCATGCTGCCCCCGCCCGGCCCAGATGAGCACCCGCTACTTTCCAGGTGGGCGTCCAATCGGAGCACGCCTCCGCCGCAGTCCTCAGAGCTGCCTGCCGAGCGAGCCGCAAGGCCTGCTGCTGCACGCTGTGGGGGGGGGGGGGGGGGGGGGACACAATACAGCGAAATAAGTGACTTTTTGTCATATTTAACTGTTCTGTAAATATCTGACAATTTGATATTATTTAATATCCTTTTCACCGAACATCACATGGATCTTTTACATTGGCAGTTTACACATTTTTTTCTCAACAACAAGAAGTGAAGCCTTTAAAATAATGATGATCTAATATCACTGGAGGTACAACAGTTTTTTGTTAACTAGATAATTCCACATGTGTTCTTTCATAAATTTGATGTCTACAGTATTCATCTAAAAAGTAGAACAAAATGAAAATAAACAAAAACCATTGAATGAGAAGGTGTCCAAACTTTGGACTGGTACTGTATACAGGACCTTGATTCATCTGGGTCATTGGACATGTGCAGTGAACTGTTATAGGCACATGCTTTCTATCAGCAGAGTGTGTACAGTGTGTATGAACCTGTATGTTCTTGGGGACGATCTCCCCCTCTGTTCCCGGGATGTGGGTCTGCGCGTTGGGCCGCGGCTCCAGCCAGAAGGAAACCAGCCAGCGGATGAAGATGACCCGGGCCTGGAGGAAGCTTTCCTTGGTGCAGTACACCGTTTCCCCCCCGTCCTGCTCCCTGCGCACCACGCTGTAGTAAGGCTTAGGACGCATCGTGGGCACGTCTGTGGGGGGGGAGGAACATCTTTAGTTATGCTGTCTATGGTTACAATAATCCAACGGGACTATTCAATGTGTTCCGATGCGCTGTGGATTTATAGTGTCCAGTCATTTTGAAAGAGATATTACAGGTTGTTTTGAAGCGGAGTTGTATGATGTACTAATTCATATTCAGTGTATTACCTGGTGTATAGGCCTATACAGATAATCAGATACAAAGGTGTAATAACAGTGAAACATGTGTGTCACATGAGTATAAGAGGTATAACACGGGTGTAATATGGGAGAAACATGGTTGTAATACAGGCGTAATGTCGTATCTCGGAAGATGCAGAGTGTAACTTCAATACAAATAGTAAATAATACATTTTCCAAAATATCTTCATGTGCTTAGCGATTTAGGGGGAATGAATTAAGTGTAGAATACAGTTCAAATATGTTAACAGTCAAATCTTTTGTGAGACAGTTTTTTCTTTCCAACAAGGATGGAAGCTGTTATCTATGCTCTCATCAAAGCCACCAGACTGAAAACTGTCATTTGATCTTGCAAAATATGGGAGTTGCTGGCTTACCACCTCATTGGGGTTAGTTACTTTGGTGTTATTCTGTGAAATGGTGAATCTGGACTAACCTTAGAGCAGCAATAGACAATGAACCCCTTGAGTTTTACTATTTAAAATAACTGAATATTTCAATTGAGTTTGGTGGCTTTGAGGAGACTATATATATGGTTCCCCGTCAAACACAAAGACTGCATTGCTGCTTCACCACAAGGTAAAGTGCTGTCAATGTTCTGAATATAGCAAACACTTTAACTGTTATTGACATTGACAGAAGTGCCTCATACCACCCGAGTTCAAAGAAATATGAACTGTCCCTTTAAGAGCTAATGTAACTGACCCAGTATGGGGTTGTAAAGGCTGGTTTCCATGGCGAAGTTGGGAAAGATGTGAGGAAGGTAAAACTTCCTGAAGTGACCGAAGAGGAAGCTGAAGGCGCGTTCATGGTTGTCTTTGCAGCGCCACTCGAGAGACTTGGCCTGGTGGGGACGTGGACACACACACACACACACACAAGCTTGTGTTATACAGAGACCATGACGCACACTAATCAGGGTCAAGCGGGAAGAGCACCATTGTTTTTGGAAAAGAATGTTGTTATCAGTGTGTGTCTGTGTGCGTGATAGCAGCAGCAGGAAGAGGAAATACAGAAATAAAGTCAATAAGGGATGACATTAGTGTTAAAGGAGTTAGTGATACTAGTAAGAGATTAGAAGAATACTTCCCTCTACCATCAATATGATAAACATCAGTAAATAACAGACCTAATAACTACTTTCCCCGTGTATTAGTAAGGCATTAGAACATGTTCAAAGGTGTAATTGGTGTTAGTAAGGAATGATGATAATACCTGGTTTACCATGTATTTAAGTAGCGCTTCTAAAAAGTAAGCGGTGAGGTCTTCCTGGTTCTTGTCACCTGACTGGGGGGGAACCAATGGGGTGATCTCTTCTGGGGTGACCTGAGCTGTAGGAGGGAAACGGGGTCACTTTATATGTATAATACAATGAATACTGCTGAATGTGAAGTCACATGTCTCTGTGTAGAATCAATGTATGGGGATGGAAATAGTGACCAGGATAGCAACGACTCTTAGGAGCAGTAAAAGACTTGTACTAACTCTCTGTTAGACTCAGCGGGGGGTTGATCAGAGTATCCAGGGTGCGTGGGGTCCCGTGGCAGAGTGGAGCCGGGAAGCCAGGAATCAAACAGGCGAACATGCAGAGCTGCTCCCGCTCGGCATGACTCTGCAGCGCCTGCATCCACAGCAGGAACAGGCGCACGCCCTCACGACGGATCTGTAATGTAGACGAGAAGAAGATCCAGATTTTACTTGCAGCATTTACTCGTTCATTTTTTAGTAAGACTTTAAATTCAAAAGAGGCTGTACGAGTCGTCTGAGGAGGATGTAGGGGCTGTGACAGAGGTAATGACGGGTCAAAGGTGTACCTTCAAAGAATTCCCAGTGTGCAACAGCTTCTTGAGGATCAGCCCTGAAGAAAGAAACACGTCAGCATTAAATTACAGTAAAATGGTATAAAGCTAGCCAGCTCTAAAACCACCAAAAGCTCATTTTGCACACGCTTTTGTTCTGGTGAAACATCTGTGTTCAGTTGAATACTTGATTCTGATTGGCCAATACGACATACCAGAGGTTTGTTATTTTGTAATAGCAGACCACTGCTAAAGAGGATGCTGCGATCAAGGGACTAAGTGCAGTCATACCAATCCATGAAAAAGAGGTCTGGTCAATTTACATCAGCGGTGGCCCAAAAAGAAAAATCTGAAAACTCAGTGGAATACTTTGAAATATTAGTTTTTATATTTGTGGAGAGCAGCTTTGGAATTATGATGGCTAAACTGTCCCAAGTAAAGAAAGAAAAATAGCGCAAGTGAAAAGAGAGGTTAAAAGATAGAGAGCTGGATGTCAGAGAAGTAAACAGTAGAAGAAGACAGACAGGAAGTGAACACTAAAGGGAACACACTATGGGCTCTGGCAGTGTCTAAAGACTGGTTCATGGAAAATAAAATGGACAGACTTGAAAAGTTACACAAAACCTCAATCAGTGCTGCCGACATTTTAAGTAACGCTGCTGTCGCCCCAGTTCCAGTAGTTGGTACGCAGTAGAACACACTATTTTTTTTAGCAGAAGCAACACAATCATCTTTAAACCAATTAAATCATTTAAAGTGGACCTATCATGCAAAATGCACTTTCGTACGTCTTTTATACATCAATATGTGTCCCCGGTGTTCCAGGGAACTCACCAAGTGTCAGAAAACACAACCCTCTCTTTTCCTCCGTACCCAAATCTTTTAAAAACGGGGCTACAACGAGCGGATACAGATTCCATCCGACCCGACGTCAGCCCGGAATACTGGGCGGTGACGCTCCGCCTACATGGGCAACGCTCCACCTATCAGGGGAATGAGAGGTTGCCGTGGCATGGTAACAGCATGGTAACAGCATGGTAACATGACGCTCGTGCCTCGCCCCCCTCCTTTGCAGGGGGGCGAGGTCAGCTGCAGCTCATTTGCCACAGAATCAGCCCTTGTGAAAACAGGGCTGGAATACAGCAAATAGAGCGAAATGAGGCATGGCTAAAATGCATGATCTGTTTGGTATTTTGAAAATAAAACTTCACAGACATGTTTTATATAGGTATGGCCCTACAATATATTATTCAAATATAGCATGATAGGTCCACTTTAAAATTAATATTGCAGGTGAAACAGTTCATGTCTTTAGCACATAGCTGTGTAATAAGCTTACATAAAACCCATACCAGCACTACTAATCCTTCGGGGGGTCGGTGAAGCTAAGCAACCCGGGCAATAATATAACAAACATGCAGGATTACAGGGCAACAACAGCGGCACTCTGTTTTCTTCTTCTGCAAAGTTTAGGATTGTATCTCACATGACATAATATGACCCAAAACTAGTTGACAGGGATCTGATCTGCAGCACACATTCAGTACAGGAGATCATCTGTAGCGGGTTTGAAAGGGTTGTGGGTGCTTGTGTGCGAGTTACCGATGCTGTGGAACTGCCATCGGCTCTGGATTCGCTCTGGCAGGAGCTGGAGGATTTTCTAGAGGAAAAGAAAGATTTTGATGCTAAGGACCATTTTTTTAAGATGACATTTTGTGCCTTTATTACAGAGACAGATTTGAAAGAGGGAGATGGAGAGGATGACTTCAGTGAGTGGTCCCTGAGTCGGAATTGATCCTGTGCCCATTATGTAATGTGTTATGAGCGTATTGATTTACTGCTGTCCCATTTATTTATTTTTGATTGTATTGGTTGGTTGCAAAAAAATCCATATTAATATATTTGAGTCAGTATAGGATTAAAAAGTATTATTACACGGCTTAGTTGAATACTTAATTCTGATTGGTCAATTTGTTGCATTGCTAACACCACAGTTCCAAATGTTGCTACTAGAACTCACAATGTATAGTGCGAGCAATACGATGATTGTAAAATTAATAATATCATGTATATCATTGATTTATACAGCTATGCTTTAGCTAGCTGGTAATTATATGGAAAGGAAACCCTCGTTGATTTCCCTATGATGACTGGATCACAGTAATCATCCCTTATTTCATCATTGTAATGTTCTATTTTATTGTCCATCTTTTTCCTAACTAATGCCTCTCAGGGGAAACCTTGAATCTTTTGTCCAAGTACTCACTGTACTAGCCCAGCATTGTTTTGAGTTGTGTGGGTGTTACGACCCGCCCTCTACTCCGTGGTAGTGGACAGAAAAGACAACACGGAGGGGAGCACGTAACAGTGGGGCCAAATGAAGGTCACACATACTGACTGTGCTATCTTATCCCGGCTACTCTACGCGGCTCCACCACCCAGTCCAGTGTAGCTGAATGCCAACGCTCTCAGTCTGAGGTCAGAGTCAGCTGGTGCTGTGGTACTGACCTATAGGAAGTTAGAAACACTTTCACAAGTCAGAGCTCCGTTCTGAAGTCATGTTGCCTCTTAGAAACAGTCTTCTCTGGATTTCTATTTTTAACACAGTCTACTAGGGGTCTCTCAATCTCTCAAAACAGTCTTCACAACCATAGAATGGTGAAGTGATTAGGTTTTTTTGTAGGCCTACCCATAAGTATTATACCATCATAGCATCACAAGGGCTAAGCGGACACAACAGTAAGGGAATTTATCAATATTGCAGAAAAAGGATCTTTGGCTAACAAATGTTTATGACAATTACACTTGTTTTTAGAAGTTTAAATGCAAACACCAGGAGTAAAGAGCTATGGTTAGGCTATAAACAAACGACATCACAGTCACATAGAAATACTTTACCTCGAATATAAAGAGAATTGAGTCCAGTTCCTCCCTCTGAGACTTGTGACCTGAAACACACAGACTAGCTTGAGAACAAAGCACCGTGATCGAGTCTTAATAGCAACAGAACATTGCCTTACTTCTAAAAGCTGACCAATCAGAGTACATCGTGTTGAACGTGAGTAAAACGTACCTTTTTGTTTGAGGCTGACCTCAATGGTGACAAAGTTCTCGAAGAACACATAGTAGATATGCGAGTAGTTCAGGTCGAAGAACTGTTTCAGCTCGGACGGCTCTGCGTTCTCTGGGAAATCAGAGGGGAAATGAAGATGAAAACTAACAAACATTTAGTGAAAAACGCAGGAGAGCACCAAGGTTAACTCCAAAATGCACATTCACTTTGATTCCTCAAGAATCTTTTTTAGTGCTGAAAGTAAGACTCATTCCTCAAATCCGACTGTTAATTGAGCTAAGAATCCCGCTAAGGGTGATTTGAGGAATGAGTCGCATCTAAAAATAAATATTACAAAATAAATCAAATGTGCCTCTCAAATTGACTCATACATGTCTCTCTTCGTCTGACAGATATGTGTAATATGCAAGTAGTGTGATTCTAAAATCATTACTTAAACCAGTTGAAGGCCCTTCTCTATCCATCTTTAGTCTAATCAGGGGTTTTCAAAGTGTGGGAAGGTGAGCCTCCCCTCAGAGAACATAAGAACAGCCGCGCCCCCCCTCCCATATTATTATTGCTATTATTATTATTGTTGTTGTTGTTGCTATAATGCAGGGGCATTCAATTGCATTTCAAAGAGGTCCAGTAAGAGAACATGTCATTATGCTCTGTTTTCGCTGTCTACCTTTCTCTTTTTGGAGCACGCCATTTGAAATGTTAGTGCAGAATCTACAGCTCCTCTACCACAACCATCAGCAACAAGTGGACATGGAGAACTACATGTTGCTGAATCCACCGCGGAGCATAAACAGAAGGGCAACCAGGCAACCATGGCAACTATGCTCGGGGGTCTTCTTCGCTGATTTTGGTGTATTTTGTGGGGGAAGTACAGCGCCACTTACAGGCCCGGGATATGTACTACAGCGTCTCCAGCGGTCTCGTGTGAAGGGACACGTTTATTGAGCTGTATCCGTGTCAACGGAAGACTTTTTTTATATCGAATTCGGTTAGTTTGCGTTTTGTTTGCGTTCCCGTGTAAATGGGGCCTAAATGATTTAAATGTAGAAGTATAAACACAGCTACAGTCTTTTCTGACTTCTCACCACAGGAAACATATACTTGAGCAACGTGACCTCACTGGAGCATCTAGGTTCTCTAAACCCACTTGTGAAATGTCAAAGAATGACAAGTGTACCTATTGGTTTCTGGAGATAAAACACACACTCTAAATACAACCACTATGATAGTTTAGAGTCAAAAGTCAAAGAAATACACATTAGGAAATAGACTATTAATATAAAAGTGAAATGTTTCACTTGTTATTTTACATTATATCACACCCATGCACAATCAGGGCCTATAAACAAGCATTAGAGGGAGGGGTTGCCACACACTGTACTTGGTCGGATCGGGACTTAACCCGGCAACCCTCTGGTTCTCAAGTTACTGCCCTGCCCCACAAGCATGTAGCAGCACATCAGGCCACACACACACACACACACACACACACACACACACACACACACACACACACACACACACACACACACACACACACCACACACACACACACACACACACACCACACACACACACACACACACACACACACACACACACACACACACACACACACACACACACACACACACACACACACACACACACACACACACACACACACACACACACACACACACACACCACACACACACACACACACACACACACACACACACACACACACACACACACACACACACACACACACACACACACACACACACACACGTTGCCCTTGTACTCTTTTTCTCCAGACTGACATTTGTAACGCGATCACATTTTAACCACAACATGAAGATCTGTGATGTGTGAAAGCTTTATATTTTAACCATGGCAGTAATGTTCAAAAAGCTCTTATTTCTCAAACTGCCTGTGATGCAGCACCTCTTTCCACCCTCTGTCTAAAACCAGAACCCAGTCTGCTCTGATTGGTTAGCTGGCCGGCTCTGTTGTGATTGGTCAACCGCTTAGAGATGTCCCGTCCCTTAGTCTTTCACATGCAATGTGTTGGAGCGCTAGTCAATAGAAGCGCTGTTTGATGTCACTATGTAACGGAAGTAAACAAAGGAGTCCAATGGAGGCCTTGCGGGTTGGCTAGTGTGTTGGAGAGAAACTCCCTCTGGTGGGAACACAGGGATTTTATCCTTTGCAGACCATTTAAATGCACAAAAACCTATAGAACACACTACAGGGAAGTGGAAACTCCAAAAGCATAATAAGGCCCCTTTCGGCAAAACAAGTTCTTTAAGGAACTTAAGGAACTTAAGGTAGGAACAGAAAGATGAACTCTGATTTATCATAATGGAAGTAAATGACTTTGTAATGTGATGGAGTTTGCATGTATGGTCAACTCTAAACCAGGCGAAAAAGCCTGTAAACAATGCTTTCTTTTTAGACGATGATTAGATTATAACCTTCTATAGACATGTAGTCATGGTTTCCTGCATGCAGCAGCAGGGCCAAAAGGGTTTGGGGTCAGTTACTTAATAACCTGATTGCATCAAAAGGGATTGCAAAAGGATGAAACCGCTTCTTGTTCAAACATTTGTTAAGAACAGGTATGAACTACTCAAAAAGTATCCAACACTCTTTGTGCTCACTTCCTAAAATGGCAAAGGTTAACATTTTTCAGGGGAGACTCTTGTGTCAGATCATTTTAAATCTCTGAAGTGGCCTCGCTTCAGTTCTCGTCATCAGTGCTACGACTTTAAGTGACCATTTGCATTTTCTTATAATGGTCTTCTGGCACCATGATAAGTAAAACTGGGTTGTTAGATTTTGTTCAGCTGTCCGAGTTGTTTTACCTCCTCAAACAATGTGAGTGCAAGTGTGTTTGTCTTCCTCTGTGATTGTTATCAAGGTCTTGTTTTCCCTCTGGTGCACATAGAGGGGCACACCCCTTTCTCACACACACACGCACGCACGCACCAGAAGCTCTCACAATAGAAACAGGAAGTTGAGCTACTGTACTGGACACAGAGAGGAAATAGTAGAGGCAGTTTCCCCTCTCCGGTCAGAGTTTGTTTGCGTGGGTGTGTACATGTGTGAAAGCAAGTGTGTACCAGTGAAATCACATAGGCACTCAAACATCCATTACTTATTCATACCCATCGCAACCTCCTCCATTCCATACAATCAAAACACTACAATTAGTATAGTGTTGTAACTAACACATCTTAACACACTCAGTATTTCTAACTTTTAAATAGGCACGCCCCTAGAGAAATCACAACAAGCCATTATGAATAATAACCTAAATGTTTTGCAGACAGCTTCATATTCAAATGTTATCACCGGGTAATAAAAGCAATACATCCGATTTTCATCCATGCAGAGACCATAAGCCAAACTCCATTCAAAAACCTGCCAATTGAATAGAGCTGTCACTTAGGCAAGGTGTGGAGCACGCCTTTAAACCCTCCTATACCTCAATAGAGTCAGTTGACAGCGGATACACTTAGCCTTATTTACTTTTAAACATAGTTTTACTTTACGTGTGTGTACACAAAACTCAATACTGTCAAGGATAGTTGTTCTGATGAAGAAATAACAAGCAAAAACAATCATATATTTGGGATAAAAGTGAACAAATGACATGCAATGAACTACAGGTGTGGTGCCGAATTGATGCGTATACACTAAAATAAATCTGAACCGGTCTTAAAGTTTGTTATATAAAGGCTGCCTCTCTGTTCATTGTAAGGCAACTTTAATTCCGTGAGTTTCGATGAGGTTTGGTTTGGCATTCCCTGTATCCCCGTATTGGCAGGTATAAGCTAACCTGTTAGCTGCTTAATTATTATTGTAACTTACCTATGACTATTCTGAGATGTTTCAGTCTTGTCAACACGTCCTTCTTTGGGTCCAACACTTTCTGTGTTGATTTTTTAACGTCCCCATGAGGCTTTTTGGAGAACATTCCTGGGGCAGGAGACACAAGAATGCGATAGTAGACAGTAGGGAGAAGCTAGCTGTGTAGCCGCTCAGACAGCTCGAGATAATCTGTAACTATACCGACAAACCCTCGCGCCTGGATGATGTATTAACGCTGCGAACTAGCAGCCCTCCGCCACAGCGCGGAGTTTATCAACGGGTGAATTGACGTCGATGCATTGTGTTCATACTAAAACAGATATGTAAAACGTAGCGGGGCAAAGCATCCATCCATTGCACCTCCCTTCCACAACAGTCCGCAGCCTGTAGGCTAAACTAGCTGGTTAGCTACTTAGCTCTGCTGTTCAGTAGAAAACATCATGGCGGAGCAGGCAGGAGGGAAAACAAAATAATGGATACCAGATCAATTAAACGTCATAATAGTTCAACAATAAGCTAACTTTACTTACTCTATTCGAAATAATAACTGTATAATTGTAACAAAACGGCAATATACTTTTAAAATAAAGGTTGTTTTAAATGTAACTAGTGGGAGACAAGTTTTGCTCGAGCTTTGCCCCTGAAGGTACAGGGCTGATGGGTAACGTAGTTCACGGCAGGTTGTTAGAACTTAGGTTATGTGAACATTGGCAAGACATAAGACTACAGCTCCCAACACAAATAAGAGAGCGCCCAACGAACATTTGTTTTTAGCTTAGCTGAGGCACACGAGTGACATTCTAACCGAGCGAGGGAAAATAAGTTCAAGCTTATTTTGAATTATTTAAACACTCTTGCAAACGTCTTGCACGACCCCATATTGTGAGTTACGGTTTTATTTAAAACTTCCTTGTTAATATGTGTGTGTATCAAGTCGTGCTAAGGGTGCCTGCTATCTGAATAGCTAACATGCTAAAGCAATGCTAACTGATGTGTTTTCGTTTGTTATTGTGTATTTAACTTGTATATTTGTATTATTTAAAGGAAACCCGATTTCCCAGTCAATTAAAACTGCTTTGTATAGTTTATATTTTAATATATCATCTCAAGCAATATAACAAAGCCATCTACAGTATATTTGATGTATGCACCATGACATTAAGTCAAATTCCTCGTATGTGTGAACCTACCTGGCAATACCCGTATCTGATTCTGATTCTGACAAACGGGTTCATTCTCATTTTTAGGGATACTCATTGAGATTACAGAATTTCGCGCAACGTATAAGACGTTATTTCCCAACATGATCGATTATAGGTATGCAGATAAATGACGGAATGTATATGTAATATATTTTGTTCAGGCATCTTTCGACCGGAATAAAATGTCAGTGGCTATCCCTGCATCACTGCCTAGGGTTAATACACAGTCAAATAAATATATACAAAAATACATGTAAATCAAATCTAACAAAGTGTTGAAATAATGCTTTATGCTATTATTGATATTGCACTCATCAAACAACACTAACATGACGAGTTTGTCACTGTACATCTGAGCAATAATCAGGTGTTCCTTATTCTTATCTGCATTAATACTAATACCACTGTATTTATCGTAATATGTTGTAATATGCTGTATATGATTTACTACAACGTGCACATTTTTACTCTACCTTATTGTGTTTATATACATATAAAAATGTTATAAAAAAAATAATGCTATTTTCATGTCTGGCGAAAGAAACTCTGTTGTAGTGTTCAGAAAGAAAATTGTAATGAATGCCTGTTTCTCTCTGTCTACCAGTCTGGAGTGGAGCTGCTGCCATGCCGGTGCACCGGGACCGGGAGAAGAAGGAGAGCACGGCTGAGGAGATGGAGGTGGAGGAGCACGAGCAGGAGGCGTCCAGCTCCGAGGAGGAGGACTCCGACACTTCCTCCGTCTCCGAGGATGGAGACAGCTCTGGTGAGAGAGTCTGAAGCCGTATAAAACCAGCACAACATTCTAATTCAGTAGAAATGTTAATGAAATACACATTATTTCAGTGTATGAATGTGTTGTTCTTCAGCACGCACTGAAGTATTATCTTTTATTTACGTCTGCTATCAGTTATTGTAACTTTTTTAAAACATCATCAACTTAAACACTTTATTCAGAATTTGATCTAATTTCGATTAGATCTTTGCCCCCAAAATTGTAAATCATAACAAAATAATAAAAACTCTCTGGCAGAAATAGTGAATGTCTACCATGTTTTGCTTCCTTATCTGCTAGGTATGTAACGATACCAAAAACTCACGGTACGATAATATCGCGATATTGAAAAATAAAGAAAATAAAAAAATGTTTTACATTTTTTATTTTCTTTATGAAATAATAAATCTGATTTGTACAGCATTTTAGTAGGATAGTAGTATTTTAAAGTGTCAACAATATAATAATCAGACCCTGCAATAGAATAAATCAAGTTTCACTTTAGTCTTTCAAGTAACTCAACTCTAACTCACTCACTCACTCAACATCATCAAGGTTATCTTTTAGGAATATGAGCATGTCCACATTTTGAGGTAGAAGCTGGGATGTTTGGGCGTTTACAATATCCCCTGCTGTGGAAAAAACTCTCTTGCTTGGTACTGATGTTGCTGGGACAGAGAGATATGCTTTGGCCATGGGTGACAGCAGTGGGTCAAACTGCATTGTCTCTCCACCACTTCAAAAACAATACCGTTTTTGCCAAGAAGGTGAGGCTTATTGACAGGGCGAGATATACATATACTGTAGCCCTGTGAATACGATTGTGTTATCTGTTGTTTTATGTTCATGTTGTAACCTACTTGCTGCCATGTTGGACAGGTCTCCCTTGAAAAAGAGATCGATGATCTCAATGGGACCATCTGGTTAAATAAAGGTTTAAAAAAAAAAAAAACATTTTTTTTTAAATCGCGGTAGATTTTGTCAGTCTCACGACGGTATTGGGACGTTTATTTACCGCGATATTCGATATATCGTTACATCCCTATTATCTGCTCATTGAACCGCTTCCCAGTGTCAAAGTGTGTGTGTTTTGATCATGTTCCAGAAATGGACGAGGAGGACTGTGAGCGGAGGAGGACGGAGTGTTTGGATGAAATGACCAACCTGGAGAAACAGTTCACCGATCTCAAAGACCAGTGAGACTGAAATAGATTATTTGTATCTTGAGACTGTAACATTATTAACTATACGTCATTCAAAGTAATGTTTGTGTGCAGGCTGTATCATGAGCGCCTCAGTCAGGTGAACAGCAAGCTGACGGAGGTGGAGGCCGGCAGGGCGGCAGAGTATCTGGAGCCTCTGGCCGTGCTGCTGGAGAACATGCAGGTCCGCACCAAGGTGGCAGGTAAGCTCGAAACACACACACACACACACACACACACACACACACACACACACAGTCTTACACACTCTCGTTTCCTTGCTCACTCTCCTATGTTTCACTCTGTCTTCATCAGGCATCTACAGAGAGCTGTGTCTGGAGTCTGTGAAAAACAAGTATGAATGTGAGATCCAGGCAGCGTGCCAGCACTGGGAGGTGAGACACACACACACACTCACTATTTACCTTTAGTTCTTCACTGTTGTGTTATTTCACAATTACAAACAAAGGTTGTGGGTGTATGTTTGTGGTGTTTTAGGGCTTTTCCAAATCTTTTGTGATATATTTTTTTTCCAGATAGATAGGGTATAATACAAAAATGATTTCAAGTGAATGATCAATGATGATCAAGTCTGACATTTCCTTGCATCACAGCAGCTACATTCACATCATCGACAAATATTAAGACAAGAAAACCGACTTCATCATATCAATGCAGCAGCATGCCTTACTTTGTGTACAAAGAACATGATTTGTTAGTTGTTTTTTTTAGGTCTGAATGTACAAAAACACATTGAAGCAGATTATTTAACAAGTTGAAAATGATTTTGTATTTGTTTTGTTTTGGATTTAACGCTCTGGGATGATCGAAAATGGTTGAATCACTTGATTCCAAACATCATGGTATTCCATTGTACAGAAGTATATTACCAATAATATGATTGTAGCCTCATCCTTATCTATAACTGTGGCAAAATACCGGGCTAAATAGACTTTTAAATGTTCATTTAGAATTGTATATGTTATGAATGAAGCAACAAACTATGACGTCTCTTTCTAAACACGTGTGAATGTGTTTGTGCTTGCAGAGTGAGAAGCTGCTGCTGTTGGACACCGTGCAGAGTGAACTGGAGGAGAAAATCCGCAGACTGGAGGAAGACAGACACAGCATAGACATCACATCAGGTGACACACTCAATACATCGTGTGATGTCATCCACACACACATTCAGCACTGTATACTATATTGACATCATGTTCAATACATTTCTATGTGCCTGTTTCTCTATCAGAGTTGTGGAATGACGAGCTGTCGGGAAGGAAGAAGAAGAGAGACGCTCTGAGTCCAGACAAGAAGAGGAGGAGACCTTCAGTGGTGTCTGATATCCTTCCACTGCTAATACACCTTCTACACAGAGTACTTACACCAGAGCTGCACAACTAACACAAGTGTTATTGAAATGGCCCAATGGGTAGCAGATTCAGGCAGCAGCCTGTACACCAACACTGAAACACATGAGCACACACTACAGTTTCAAAAAGCAGTCAGAAAATCTGAGCTGACAGAAAATGCTGCGTTTTAGTTTAACACAGTTAAGCTCACACACACTATTTGATGAACATAGGTTCACCTGCTGAATTAAAAGCAGAACAAATGAAGCAAAGGAAGTGAAAACCATAAAGCAGATTCAGGCAGTAGGCGTATAGATTCCCACTTACCCCTCGATTCCACCGGGTCCGTCTGTGCCGGTTACGGCTGCACCGCGGTTTTGGTCCGGCGTCAAACCCTACCGGGCGCGTTTCAGAAGCGGAGCGTCTTGCCTGCCGGCTCGCAGTTTTTGTTGATTTGGACATATTTCCTGGACAGGCTACTTTGTACAGACTAAGTTAATAATACTTGTAATATCCCAGTTATAAACGACATGAATCAAAGATGTGTTGCTGTATTTTAGTGGTAAAAAAAGGCATTCATCATCATAATTATTCTATATATATAATTTACACAGTGTCTGTAGACCGGAGGAGAACGCTGGCATTTCTCCTCCTACTTGAAAGACTACGGATGGATAGGGTCTGCAAAATGTGTGTGTGTGTATATGTATGTATGTATATATATATATATATGCTCTGAACGTTCCACTTCCTGGCTGCCCGACATTATGTTACGGCTGCGTCGCGTCGAAAATAGGATTCATCCTAATTGTAGAGGAGCCCTGCGCCGAGGCGCTTCTGGGACGCTTCTGAGCCGTAACGCGCCGCGTGTGGTGGAATAGCACCCATTGACTAGAGTGGCCGCGATCGCCGTGAGCACCGCGGCGCAGCCGTAACGCGCCGCAGACGGACCCGGTGGAATCTAGGGGTTAAAGTGTTATCCTACAGAACAGCTCACAGAGAAGAGAGAACATCTGACATGTAGCTGTAGGGGAATACCGTTCCCTTCTGGGTTTCTGATTGGGTTTCATTTATTTAAACTGCCTAATCCAAAATGCTGCACTCTGGATATGTCCTTATATTTAGAATGTCATTAATCCCTGCTCCATGTGGCACCGCCCTTAACTCCGCCCACGCCCATATATAGTTTACATGCTCCCTGACCTGGACATCCTGGAGGACTGGACCGCCATCAGAAAGGTGTGCAGATGTGTATGTGTACATTTTCCGAGCTGTGTCTTCGTCCCCTGGGCTTTGGCATCGGTGTGTTTTGGGGTTGGTGAATCTTTTTTAACGTGTGTGTTGTTTTCCAGGCCGTGGCCACGCTGGGGCCGCACAGAGGGAAGTCCGACTCTGACAGCCCCGTGTTCCCATTCAGACAAGACAGAAACAGGCCCATTCTCAACTGCTGAAGAGCACACACACCAAACACACACTTAACAAAGCACACCAAACAGGAATGCACCAGATATAAGGTACAGTAATGTATCCATTGTAACAGTCAATTGGCTTTACTGCTGTTGGCGGGGTAGCAGCAACATTTCTTTTAGCCACCTGGACGCCACATTTAGACTATTTTCACCGTTTGTCAACTCTTTCCGGAACTGAAGACGTTTCGCTTGCTGATCAAAGCCACAGGGACAAAAAAGCTCATTTTACTGCGGGGTTTCCTCAGATATTATTCCCAAGAATAACACAAACAAGCAAATGGTTGGAGACAACATTAGACAAACAACTATTTAGTTTTTCTTGCTCATATCACTGTTTCGATGGAGTCTGGTGGCTTTGAAGACGGCATAAAGGGATATAACGACTACAGTTGGAAAAGGCAGTGAAAATATTCCAAATATAGCGTACAGTAGGGGTAAGTTCCTCCGCTTCAGAGTGAAGTATCCCTGTTAATATATCACATGGACAGAGTTCATTCCTCAAACATGACGGAGCTCATAGCTGGACCTTACCCACAATCCTCTGCACTCCTTAGCGAACAGCGACACCAGTCGGTAAGCTGCCTCTCGTGCCAACAGGCAAACACAATAAAGACTCAGGGTTTGAATCCCTTTTTCAGGACAACAGGAAGAGGAGCATCGTTTCCACTCATATTTCATTTACCGGTTCTTCATTATCGGAGGAAAGAGACGGAAACACTGAAACTGTTCACCACATGGTGAGGCTTCAGAAATGACTGTGACCCAGGTTTCAGTTTTCTTTTCAAGGTGTGTTCACAACGAGAGTGAATGTGATCAAAGTCTTTTTTACAATGTGTTTGACATCTAACATCTCTGACATGAACGCCATTCAACACACGCACCACGAGTCACATGGTTTACACCAGCTGTCCAAGAGCCTTTAAGAATATCACATTTTTACTTTGGGATAATGGAGCGTTTATACAGTAGAGGAGTAGGACTCTGAATTGAGTTAGGATCAGAAGTCTAAGAGAAAAGTCTAACTTCATCAGATCACAATGTGGCCATAGTCGTCCTCTGTACTTTTATAACGTTTCTTTTCACATGATCCAGATGTTTGCAAGTTATTGTAAACAATGTGGGATTTGTAACGCTAAACCTAGAGGGTGATTGTGGAAGCTTCCGGCGCCATAATAGGAAACACCGGTGGTTAATTGTGCCATTCAAACCTTTTTTTACGTGGATCAGTTTAAATGACTTGTATGAGACTTATTACGTTGTTGTTTTTCTAATTTGTGTACCGTTTTGCACCCAGCACTCCATAGTGCCTACTCTTCACGTTGAATTGATTGCATGTTGCTTTGTGACGCCTTGGTTGCGGTGATTGTGGTCGAGACAAATGACTAATTAGTGAGATCAATAGTTAAAATGAAAATAAGGCGATACATATACAAAATAATGTGCATACGTTAGCCAAGACAGACTTAGTGAGTACATTAAGAAAGAAAAAATAAAGATTTATATGACTTTTGTTACCTAGGAAGTCACAATACCACAAACTGAATAACCAATGAAAGTGGACCTGTTTTTCTGGGGGCTTTGAAGGGCGTTCTGATGCAGCGAGGTAAAGCAGTGTAATATACATAGCATACACTCAGACTGATATGACAGCCTTTAAGGACTGCTCATTGCAAACCAGGGATGAAAAAGCGACGAGTCATGCTAACAAAATCATTTTGGAACTTGAGTGACAAATGAAATAAAATTGAAAGGATTTGAAAGTTGGTATTCACAGGCAACTACCTCCTCTCTTCAAACGTCACGTGTGCATTATCGCTCATAAACGTTCAAACGCTTCCATCACTAGGACCATACTGAGTCTTTACATACAGCCCACGGTTTAGAACGGAGTCTGAACAAACTGCCATGTATTCATATTCTTTTCTTAAACAAGTTTCTGAACATTAAGTTGTTGGGGATGTTCAAATCAAAAAACGATTTTCTTTTTGACTGTTAATGTTAAATATTGTGTCAGGTATATTTGTGTTGATTGTGTGGGTTTTACAATAAAAGTTGTTTTATAAATACATTGTGTCATTTAGCTGTAATTGAAAAAAGGCTTACTTGTAACTTTATGTAACTTACTGAATAAATGTTTTCAAAATGTATTCTTTTATTGGATTTATAACTTCTAATATTTATATAAATATCTTTATTTTATTTGAACATTTTACTTTTATATAAACATTATGTTGTATAAATATTTTTATTTTATAAGAAATTAAAATCATAACTTCTAATGTTCATATACATACTGTACAATTATTCCATTTAATTTGACATTTTTACTATGACTTTTAATGTTTATATAAATATTTTGATTCTACTTTATTTGATATTTAACTGAACATTTTACTATTAGTTTTATTTAAATATTATTGTATATGTTCATTTAATACTTGTATTTTATTTTTACTTCATATTTTATTGGATATTTATCTTTGGATTATTTTAATGTTATTATTCTATTTTATAGGACATTTTACTTGAACTTGTGTTTTCAAAAGAAACATTCCAAAATGGAGCAACTGTCCCAAAAGAGTAAAACTATCCTAAGTGACTTGTTCCGGTGGTGAATCCCCTGACCTCTCTACGCTGAGCGAGAACACAGAATGTCTCCTCTGAAAACCCTCTATTGTCTACCAAGTTCTAAAATGAAGAAAGAAATAGTTTCTGGTGATAAATCCTTTAAGTGTGTTTTCTGTGCCGTTAATCACTGAACAGGCAGAATCACTTGTTCTGTGAAAACGGATTGTTGTTGTAATACTGATTGTAGCCACAAGAGGCTGCAGTGAACCACTACTCGATGCTCCTCAAAGCATTCATTAAGAAACGGTTTTTTGAAAGGAACTGAGAAAGATTATTCTAGCAAACCTTATTTGTTGTACCTGTTGTTAAGTCGTCAGCATAGTTGAGAAGTTTGAATCTGGCTTTAAAAATGGATCAATGGCTGTGATCAATAAGATGAAGGCTCTGATGATGTTCCTCCATGCACAACACGTTTCACTTGATACAATATTGAAAGATGAGAGCATTGATAATTTGACAGTCTTTATTTGTATCTATTATTAATCACTTTTTACAAAATTCACATGGGTGTTATTTGTCTGTCTCTTCCAGTCCTTCCCTTCCCCCTGGTGGTCAGCAGGAGTCACAGCGCTCTGACAGAACACACAAGTCACTTTCATTGACTCCTCACTGCTGTTGGAAATCAAAGCTGTGGATGAAGGAAGGATCCTCACAGGAGGGAAATTCAGATATGCACTTTATCATATTTTAAGAAAATGTCTCTTTTTGGAAGTATACGCCTCTCAGATTTAGGACAAAACAAAACTTGACATGAATTTGAATCGAGTTTAAGATCAGTGTCATTATAGGTTTGGTACAACAAAACCATTTTTTCTTTCTTATAGTAATGTATAGCTTTGGGCCATTTAGATTTTTGTAAAAACCCTCCCATTCACTGACACATCCCACACACACAGCCTTTCTACATGCACGCTTTTAACCCTTATAAAAGCAAACGTTGCTGGTTCTCATGGCAACATTAACACACACACACTGATTCAGCTGCCACTGTGACTCCACAATGACAGGAACTAGTTCACAGGGAATAAAGCTGGAGAAAAGAGAGGAGAAGAGGAAGAGTGTGCAGCAGACAGAAACAAAAGGGCTCATAAAGGCCGATGGTTTCCCCCCCCCCCCGCGCTGACAACCTTTATTTAAATCATCCTCCTGGTTAGTATGTTCAGAACGATGGAAAATCCACCGCCCGCTGAGTTAACCTTTAACCAGGAACACCCCACAGCTCCAAGTGGAAAACCTGCTCAGATGGCGTCTTCAGGCGAGGGGGGGTGCTGCTGTGGGGACTGGCTGTGTGGGGGGGACTGCTGAGGAGGGGGAAGACCCAGTGAGGGATGTGGGGGGCCGTCTGGTGGAAGGGGCCGAGCGTAGTGAAGAGGAGGGAGTCCAGGACCGGGAGGGAAACGAGGAGGGAACATCCCTGGAGAGAGAGGGGCCCACACTGGAGAGAGAGAGAGAGAGAGAGAGAGAGAGAGAGAGAGAGATAGAGAGAGAGAGAGAGAGAGAGAGCGAGAGAGAGAGAGAGAGAGAGAGAGAGAGAGAGAGAGAGAGAGAGAGGTTAAAGGGGCCAAATTCTGCTCATCTTCAGGTTCATGTTATTATTTCGTGTCTCTACTGTGACATGTCTCCATGCTTTAATGTTCAAAGAGCCCAGTCTGCTCTGATTGGTTAGCTGGCCGGCTCTGTTGTGACTGGTCAACTGCTTAGAGATGACCCGCCCCTTAGCCTATCACATGCAATGTGTTGGAGCATTATGATGTCACTATGTAAGAGTAATAAACAACGGAGTCTAAAGGAGATGTTACAGGCAGGGGGGGGGGGGGGGGTTAAAAGGCTATAACATATTGTGATGATAGAGGTGACGGCTTACTAGGCATCATGGGAGGTCCCCTGGGGGGGTAGAAATCAGGATGGGGTGGTCCGTAGGGGGCCCGACGAGGAAAGGGACCGTCCATGGGGCCCATCGGGCGTCCACCAGGGGGGGGGGGCGCCCATCCTTGGATCAGCGTCAGGTGGGGTCCTTCGATCACCGGGACCGGACTGCTCACACAGAAAGTGGTGTTACATAGGCAGGCACACACACACACACACACACACACACACACACACACACACACACACACACACACACACACACACACACACACACACACACACACACACACACACACACACACACACACACACACACACACACACACACACACACACACACACACACACACACACACACACACACCACACACACACACACACACACACACACACACACACACACACACACACACACACACACACACACACACACACACACACACACACACACACACACACACACACACACACACACACACACACACACACACACACACACACACCACACACCTTCCAGGCCCTCAAATTCAAGCATCCAACATGGCATAGACTAAGACACTGATCAATGGTAGTTATCAGGGGTCGTTACGTGGCTTGTTTGAATACTCGATTTGGATTGGTCAATTCGGAAATTCAGAAGTTGCAGAGGACACTCTGAACCTAAGAGAATGTGCAGTCATATCATTACTGTTACGTGCTCCCCTCCTTGTTGTGTTTTCTGTCTCCCTCTGCGCAGGTGCAGCTGGTCTGCCACTGGCTCCGCCTCTGCGCAGGTGCAGCTGGTCTGCCACTGGCTCCGCCTCTGCGCAGGTGCAGCTGGTCTGCCACTGGCTCCGCCTCTGCGCAGGTGCAGCTGGTCTGCCCCTGGCTCCGCCTCTGCGCAGGTGCAGCTGGTCTGCCCCTGGCTCCGCCTCTGCGCAGGTGCAGCTGGTCTGCCCCTGGCTCCGCCTCTGCGCAGGTGCAGCTGGTCTGCCCCTGGCTCCGCCTCTGCGCAGGTGCAGCTGGTCTGCCCCTGGCTCCGCCTCTGCGCAGGTGCAGCTGGTCTGCCCCTGGCTCCGCCTCTGCGCAGGTGTTCCTAGATTCCACTCAGCCGGGCTATTCGGAGAGACTGGAGGAGAAGGATCGTTCACCTATCCCTTTGCCGGAAGACTGTCTGTGGACGATCTCTCTGCTGTTTCTGATCTGTAGACCCTTTTGCTATTGTGTTATGATGTGTATCCTGGAGGACCTGGTAGTCTAGTTTTCGTGGCTTTATTTTGTTTCCCGTAGCTTTTGTTAGATTTCTGGTACGGCCCGTGGTGTGGCTGGCTCGGGCCCCCTCCTTCTTTTTGTTTCTTTTGGCCAGTCCTCCAGACCTCGTTCGTTTGCTGGTTGGCCTGTGTGAGTAACGGCTGTACATTTAAATAAATGATCGCTGTTAAGTACTGGATGTTTTGTGTGTTTTCTTTTATGTTGCGGGTCTCCCCACGAGCCACTACCATGTAGTAGAGGGCGGGCCGTAACCATTACGCAGAAAGAAGTCGATGTGACGTCGGCTGTAGCCAGAACGCAGCCAGTGAACTCAAGTTTTCAATGACCTCTGCCTATTTATGTCTTTTTTAAACACTTTCAACGCCCTGGTTATTTCCCTGCAAATGTTCAAGTATGTCAAGGACCTGTAGGAACCAAGTCATGGTCATAGTGTGAATGGTTATTGATTTCCAGGAGGCTCTGCTTGGGTCCAAATGGATGTGCTGCAGATCTTTAATAATATCAAAACCACTTCAATTTCTGCTTTTGCACATTCAAGTTCATTTGCCTTCATTTCAAAATGTTTGACTTTCTAAGCCGTGATTTTTTCCTTTAAATGTCACCAGCTTTGAAGGATTCCTGCCAGCTCTTACCTCTCGGTGCTCCTGCTCCCCAGGGCCCAGGTGGTTCTCTCTGTAGGAGCCGTCTGCATTGACATAGAGAACAGAGGAAATGAGCCATGATCAAGGACACGGGTGCTTTTGGTTTAGTGTCCATCTTGTCTAGTTCACAAAGAGTTCACATACATGTCCTTGATTCACCTATTTACAGTGAAATATACGATATACAATAGAATATATATACAGATGGCGGTGACTCACCCATCATGTCTAGCCCTGGGTGAGGGGGTCCGGGGGGGAGACCCCTAGGATGCAGAGGGCCGGGGGGGAAAGCTCCAGGAGGGGGCAGTGGGCCGAGGGCTCCTGGGGGAGGTCTCCTGTACATGGCACCGTGTTCAGGGAACATGTACCCTGAGAGACAAAGGGGGGGGGGGGGGGGACACACTGAGACATTAAAGCTGTGTCTCAATCTGTGTTCTTCTGGACTCCATCTGCCATGTGGAGTGCACTATGAGCAGAGGTGGAAAGTAGTGAATATACTCAAGTATAGTACTTTTTGTTGTACATATTTGTACTTGGGTATTTCCATTAATGATACTTTATTCCTTTACTCCGCTACATTCCAGAGGTAAATATTCCACTACATTTATTTATAATACAATACGAAAATGCTCTTATAATGGATGATAAAATGATAAGCATAAAAATAAAATACTGTGAAAAGTACTTTTACTGTTGATACTAGGAGTACATATAGCGGATATTTCTTGAGTTCATTTAAAGTATTCTGAAAACTGCAAAAATGACCCGTATTACATCTTGTAAATGAAGTATTATATTTTGATGCCAAGACTTTTGTACTTTGAATGTAAGATATTACGATACGATATTACTTTATTTGTCAGATCAGGTCTGAAATGTGACTTGCGTCACAGCAGCTCCATGTCTAACAACAGACAAGTATCCAGACACAATACATGAAACACAAACAACAAACATTTAACATAACAGCACAATCACACAATCAGTGCAGAAAAGCTGCTCAAAGAGCCTTCAGCGTGCATTTGATCTGGGATCAGCTCTGTGTTTACTGTGAGGACTGACTGATGCACAAAGGATGCTTCAGTCTGACCTTATTGAATGGTGGGACCCTGTATCTCCCATTAAATGGTAGCAGTTCATACTCACTGTTCAGAACATGCTTTGGGTCAGAGATGATGTGGTTGGACAGCCTCACTAGGTTGTTATGATGAGTCATAGAGTCTCTGACAGGCTGGACCAACAATCTTTGAGCAGATTTTTAACAGCTGGAGCAGCTTTGATTTGAAAGCTGCTGACAAACATTTGTACCAGGTAGTATTGCAGTACTGTAGAATAGACAAGATCACAGATGTAAAGAACAACAGAAGAATTTCTCTGCTCGCCCCAAAAGACCTAAGACGGCGGAGAAAATACATTCTTTGTTTTGTCCTTTTGCACATATTGAAATCAGGACTTGAATTGCAGTGGAGTATTTTAGGACCATAGTACGAGTACTTTTACTTAGGTAAAGGATCCGAGTACTTCTTCCAACAGTAACTTTGAATAACAGAAAAACGCACTAATAACGTTAATTAAAACATTTAAAATGATAAGAATAACATTGCTAGCTAGATAGCCAGCTAGTAACGATAGCCGCTGTTTGCTAGCTAGCGGCGGTCGTATGCTAGCTCGCAAACAGTGATAGTGTCATGTTGATAATTCAGTAGGTGGAGTTCCCTCAGGTTCACGTGATAAATGACACAACATTTTTGTAAAGTAGAGCTTCACAGACAACTGCAGTCCCCAGTGTCAAAATGCATGTAAGAACATACACATGCACCATCAACAAGCTTTAGACATTCACACTACGCAGCTGTTGACTTGCCATGCACAGCTCTGCCTCTAATAACCTTAATGAGGTCTGCTTCAGAGTCATTCATGTGATGAGCCACACCTGTGCAGACCAACACCTTTAGAACAGCAAAGACTGAGCCTGAACACACGGTGCCACAGTCAGGCTGAGTTCTTACACATCTCGTAATGACTTTTTCCAGAGTATTCGCTTTGACAGCACTAGTTTACACTCGAGCACTTACCTGGGTAGTTTTGAGGCAACCTGAGGCCATTTCTGATCTAAATCCTGACCTACTTAACGTTACACACACTCAATTGCTGCTTTTCTAAAACTTGCTTTTTTAAAGAACAGAAGACAACATCCGTCCCAAGGTAGTGATATTCTCTTAGCGCCTTGGTTTTCTTTCCCTCATGATTTCCTTCCTATCATTCCTTGACTTTATGGCATTTTCCCTCAAGGACAAGAAACAGTGGTTAAAAAAATATATCGTTTGATATGCGACTGCGACTGTCTTTCTCACACACCTGGGGGTCCTAGTGGCCCAGGGGGTCCTGGTGGGGGGCCCCTGCGATCTCTCTCCCATGTTGGAGAGATGGAACCGCTGTCTGAATGAGGACCTCCGATCCGCTCCATCTCTCCTTGGCCCCCGGGGGGCTCCATTGGACCGCGAGGCACTGTGGAGGAGAGGACCGGAGGAAATAGAGGACGAGGAGGAAAGGAGAGGTAATGGAGGATAAGCGTGAGAGAAAGAGGGAGACAGAAAGGGAAGAACCAATCGGCAACAGACAAAATATCAGAAAATTAAGCAGGAGATGAGATGTAAGACATCGTCGCATCAGTTTTTATTTTCATTGTGTTTCCAGTTTCCACACCATGCTACTCATGTTTAAGCTTCTACAGTTGATCATGCTGCAGCCAGCTGCTCCTCTCCAACATGCTGCCAGTGATTACTATGTGACTGAATTCATAAATGTTCCATATGGGAAGATGTTTTTCAAATTCTAATCAGCTAAGTAAGTCCTAGTGATAAAGTAAATCACATATAAGAAATAACAGAGCGATGGGTGTACTCTTGATAACTCTACTGTGTGTGAGTGAGTGAGTGAGTGAGTGAGTGAGTGAGTGAGTGAGTGAGTGAGTGAGTGAGTGAGTGAGTGAGTACCTCTAGGAGAGAGTCGAGCAGGCGGTCCGTCCATTAAGGTGGGAGGAGACAGGAAGGCTCTGGTTTCAGAGGCAGGTCGTCCCAGAGGGGAGGGCCCGTATGGGGACCTCTCAGCTGCAGGTGGGGGGGGGGGGGGAGTTTAGTGAGGCCAGAGTCCAGGGAATGTGTGCATGTGTTTGTTTATTTTTTGTATTTTAGGAAATGATACGGTTAAAGGGCCTCCATAACAACATGAGATACAGTTAAAGGTCAAATACATCAAATAACTTAACATTCCACACATCATAAAAAACAAAAAACTGAATAACAATTAGTTACAGGGGTTTACTAACGCTGCATACACAAATCGCTGCAAGAAGCTCAGAACCCAAAGGAAATGGGGACACTAAAAAGTGACGCACACAGCTGGGACCAAAACGCCATTAAGGTTCGGGATTATAACGTTTGCCAACTGTCACTGGAAACTTTACATGTACATCGTATTGTCTTATTTTAACAATGTGATCACATGATTCTTTCAGATATTATTGCAGATCTGCTGTAGCAAGCTAACCTAGTCATTTCAAATATACTGACAAAACACTTACAGATATGAAACAGACTAACTCATTATTTACTTTATAATCCCCGAACATCAACAAGTGCTCCGGTCCCAGCTGTGTGCATCACTTTGTCGTGTCCCTGTTTCCGTTTTTTATTTGCAGCGCTTTTTTCATGCTGTGCATGTTTCCTGTGCCCCTTTCACACCAGCGCTATTTCAGCTCCGGCTCGGAGCTGGAGCTGAAAAGCGCCGGTTTTTCCTGTTCACACCGCAGCGGCGCCGGCTCTTAGCTCCGGAATCCGGTTCACTTCCAGCTCCAAAAAATTGTCGGTCTAGAGGCAAGAGCTTCGGAGCTAAGAGGTGGCGTCGCTTACGTCTCTCTTACGTCGAGGCGTGCAGGAAACTAAACCCACCTCCCCTGAACATGGGTCGACTGTCATGCCTGCCTACAAGCAGTAGTGCTTATAAACACACTTTATAAAGTCAGGCAACACTAACCAGGCTTCGTGTGATTCTGTTTATTTGTACCTTACTTTGACCATCCGTTCACTGTTATTGATCATTGTGGAGAGAGGCAGATGTGTTGTTTTGTATTATAGCAGCTATCGGATGGAATCAATACATGGGCTGCACAGGTTGTCGTGTCCGACTATCACAAGTAGAATCATAATGAAAATACGCCGGTAAAATGTGCCTGTAGAAAACGGATAGGATAGATGACCATTACATGTATGTATGATCTGTATGTGTAATGTGTATTTGTAAAAGCGCTTTGAGAGTCATTGATAAAGCGCTATAATAAATATAAGGATTATTATTATTATTATTATTATTATTATAGCAAGTAGTCAGTTTAGCTTCGGTTGCTATGCTAACATTACCCATTTTATACCAGAGAAACTTTCATAACAGCATTGTGATGCCAAACAGCGTCAATTCAGACTGACACACATTCACTTAGGCTAAGGGGAACTGGGGATATGTATCAGCTGCTTGTGTGAGTCGGACAGTGAATACTTTAGAGCGGCCGCAGCAGTGTGAGCTAACCGGGAGCTAACGGGGGAGAATAAACTCCCGTGGAAGAGCAGCCAGCACTGCAGCGGTCGGTAAATGCTGCAGAAACACATTAATAAACAATGAACCACGGCACTCTGGAGAAAAGTATAAGGTTGGAGAAGTCGTTATTCAATTTATTCTGGCTTCGTGTGATTAAAAGCAACACGATCATTGACCCGACGCAGTTCCCCGTTGTTGTTGTGAGCGCCGTAATGCCGTTGGGGAGCAAATCAGCGATGTAAACGGTGACGTCATGACGCAGCAGCGGCAGCACCAGTCGGGCTCTGGGCGGTGTGAACAGAGCGGGAGCAGAAAAGGGAAACCGGAGCTGAACCAGAAAAGCTCTAGCTCGGAGCTAGAAAGGGAAAAGCGCTGGTGTGAAAGCCGCAATGGAGTTGGGGAATGTTTTCTAATGGCTCCATGTGTTGTCAAGTTGTTGAAGATGTTAAACAAATTTGTCTGTGTTTTGGCACATTTGTGTTTTTATACTTGTATCATTATTTGAAAGTACAGCACATTTCTCCTAATGGAAATGTTCTGGGCCGATGTAGCCATACCTGCCAACCCCCCGATTTCATTGCCCTCTCCCGGTTTCCTCCCGGGGTCATATTTCTCCCGCATTTTTCAAAATCAGATTTACTCACGACTATTTCCACTCTGACTTTAATACAGCTACACCATTTATTGGTTTCCATGGTAGCGTGTCCCTTTAGTAGCGCGCGCAACTGAAAGTCTGAGAGGGTGAGGAAGATAGTCACAGAAAACAGAACAAGAATCGACAACTCCACCCTCTGCTCACTCCTTTCCAGTCCACACATATGCTCCATCAAGGATGGTGCTACAGGCCGCAAGGCAGTGTTAATGTTAATCTAACTGCTCCAGCTACAGTACTCATAGGATTGATAGCGGATACATCATTAACACCATACGTACATTAATTATCACATCTTACCACAGGGTCATTAGAAATGTTTTGTGACCACTCGCCCATTTCTGTGAGTTAGCCAAGTTATTTTCTCTGAACTATTTCCTTGTAATTTGTTTCATAATTGCTACCCTACAAGGAATAAGTATTATTCTTTTTTTATTTCCTAATAGTATAAGTGGGTTCTTAATTGGCCTACTAAAAAAAAAAAACATTGTTGACATTTCCCTTACAGCTATTTCCCAGAACTCCCTTCCCTTTAAACGAGCATGTGTTTGTTTCTGTGTGTGTGCTCACCTCTGAACGGCAGAGGTCTAGCCAGGCTGTCCAAGGCGTAGGGATCTTTGTCGAGGGCGTCAAGTTTAAACTGCGTATCTGTCAACCTGTAAACAAACAGACTTAATGTCAACATGTGACGAGCAGAACCGGCTATGCAATACACAGTTTGTACTGTACAAACAACACGGGAAACATCTCAAACATTTCTAAGGAATTCAGAACACAGTTTATCTGCTGTTTGATTACTTCTGTCTGAAGAGGGCGTTCTCTCTCCGGATGTCTGACAGCTCTCTCTCTGCTGCTCGGGCGGCCAACTGCAACAACAAACCGAGATCAGTGACAAGGATGACAATCGTACATTTATACAGGCAGAGAATGAAGAAGTCCACAAATATTTCTCTTAAAGATCTCCCATCATGCTATTTTTAGGCATATATTATGGGTCTCAGATATATACAAATATATAAAAAACACATCTATGATGTGTTTAGCTCAAAATACCAAACAGATCATGCATTTTAGACATCCCTCATATCCCTCTATTTCAGAGGGAAAAAAGTCCCCCCACTTTACAAATATGTTTATTATTATTTTTTAACGCAAGCCGTCATCGCCACAAAGGAGCACACAGCCTCTGTGAGCGAGAGAGAGAGAGAGAGAGAGAGAGAGAGAGAGAGAGAGAGAGAGAGAGAGAGAGAGAGAGAGAGAGAGAGAGAGAGAGCACACCGTTATCTATTTAATATAGATCAAGTAAGAAATCATTCCAATGTGTACTATGGGACAGTAAAAAAAAGGTAAGCATATAATAATGTTAAAATGTGCTAAATATATACACTGCAAAAAACAAAAAGGAGGAGTAAAAGTAACCCCCGACTTGTTTTATTTTTTGAAAGTAGCCCTCATCCTAAAAAAGGTTGGTGACCCCTGGTATAAATACTGTGTCACTAGTTAAATTCAGGCATTCCAAATGTTACTTGAGTAAAAAGTAGAGAAGTGGAAGCATCAAAATATACTTAAAGTACTCAAACTAGAGCAAAGTAATCTATCTTTTCAAATAAATATAGTGGCGTAAAAATAATTGTGGTGGGGAAGAAGTAAGAAGTAGCATCTAGTATCTAAAAAAAGATGTACAATACTTGAATGAATGTACTTTCCACAACTGTCTAAACAAACAGCTAAGCTCGATGTAATGTGAATACAGAGCTCAACGTTTGAAATGGCGTAGTACTTATCCGTATCAAGAGCTGCAGGAAGGATTCCTTAAATCCTAAAATGCGAACATGATGCATTTACATTAGCTTTGTACTTTGGCGATTATCCTGCTGATCATAATGTGTAAGGCAAGGCAAGTTTATTTATACAGCACCTTTCAACACAAGGCAATTCAAAGTGCTTTACAAAACTGAAAGACATTAAGAAAATGGCATTTAAAAACAGTCATTAAAAAGATAAAAATAAACATTAAAAGAAAAAAATACATGAATTAAAGTTACAGTGCAGTTTAAGATATGAATGTGTAAGTATCATTAATGAGTACAATCTTATTTCTGCAATATTTCAAAATCCAATGGAAAAATCCCATTGCTTTTTGTCGAGGGAGTCCTTGTGATGCCAACTTCTGGGTCTGCCTACACCAGTGTTTCTCAAACTTTTTCATACCAAGGACATAGCTGACTAACTGATATTGATTCTTTTATGTGGGCCTTTATTTTAGGTGGCTAAAATACCTTTTGCTGCCGCCCTGTCCACAGCTGTACATTGCTTAGCTTCCTACTGGCTCTCCTGTCTTTTGCCCTCGACTGCAGGTCAAATACTACTTACAGATACCTACAACCCTACTAAAAAAAACGATCCCAGATCTAACGTCAGAGTATGGAAATGGAGTAAGAATGCACACAATGCAAACAATATGGTGTTCATTTTAATACTGTCAGGCATGCACAACCCTCCGAATCCTGCATACTTTTCACAGTACCAGCTACCTGTTATATTTGCCCAGTTTTCCACTTCAGCAATACTGCACATTTATTTTAACGGGTGTATCTATATTTCATGTGAATATTGATATATTTTAATGTTAAAATAGATTTCTCAAGATAGTTTTTTATAATTGTTTTGTGGTCCTCTTCTTGCAATGTATCTTCTTTACTGTGTTTATGTATGGGCCAAGGGAAAATTCTCATATGTGTAAACCTACTTGGCAATGAACCTGTTTCTGTTTCTGAAAACCATTTGGCTATAAAAATAAACATCTCTCTACTTTTATTTGCTCACGTTTGGTGTGTTACTTACCCAGTTATTGTGTGCTTTCTTCTCATGTGCTGACATCTGAGTCTGGTAAGATTGTTTGGTTTTATCCAGCTCTTCCTCCATCTCTCCTGCTCGTTGTCTGAAGAAAGAGACACACAGGTGAGACTTAACATGTGCATCCTCACACATGTCCACTGTCAATGTGTTTAGGGATACTTTAGCGGAGCAGCTACCTGTAGTTGATGAGTTCTTCCATGGCCATCGCAATGTTTTTGTCCGCCTTATTTAACTTATCTTCTTTCTGCATGCGTTCCTTCTCCTCCACTGTCAGAAGCCTGCAAACAAACACTCGTCAACATCCTGAAACTACCAAAACATGTATTTGCTCTTCAGGAATAAGTCCTAAAGCCGGAAATGACTCAGCATTTCAGCACTTAGCCTACAGGTTGCCTCAAAGTCAATGGTTTTTTAAATGTGTTTTTTTAGATGCCTGTAACAAAGTCTTTGATTAACACGAGCTAAAGAGTTCTACGACATCAAATATGTCAGTTAATACCCCACTGGTGTTAACAAGTTCCTAAATGTGACTTCTAAACGTAATCACGTCGAACATCAGCCGTCTTTAGCTTAGCGGTGGTGGCAAGTCATGTCACCGTGATATAGTTAGTTTATAGCCAAACAGTGATTTTGTGATTGCATTAATGCTTAGACTATTATAAAAGTGGTGTTAATATGTGGAGATTATCCTGTTGAACAAAAGGTGCAAGTATCATAAACATTGGTTTGCCACAGAGATTATTTGCTGCAATATTTGAAATCCTATGGACGTACAGTTACGTTATATAATTTTGTATTTAATTTTTTCTAAAAATGATGGAATACTAGCAGGATTACAAAGAGCATATAGTGTTTGTTGTAAAGGATCAGATGTTATCTCTTCTCTGTAAAGGTCCTTACACACCAAGCCGATTTTCGGCATTGATAGATGTCGATAGATGTCGGGTAGTCGATGAGCGTCGTGTCGCCCTACTCAGATTGGTGTGTCTTGGTGTGTCCCGCACCGTCGTGTCTTTTCGGCCGTGCCAACACCTTCCGCCGCAGATTCGACATGTTGAATCGTTGTCGGCCAAAGGCCGTCGGCCAAAGAAATCACTCTGATTGGCTGTTCAGCTAGCGAATCAGTGCACAAGAAGAAACGGAAGGGACCCAAACAAACTATTAAGAAGGCAAATCTGAGATTTCATTTAACTCCAGCTCTCGACACAGGTTCAGGAAAGCCCTGTGAGCTTCTCGCTGTAGAGTGAAAATGGAACGCACACGCTATTCGTTGTTTGTTTATATCACGCAGTCTGTTCTTCTTCTCTCGGTCATCACGCAGTCTGTCTTCCGGTTGTTGCCTCTTTTGAATGACGAATACACACTACCGCCCCCTGCTGGTAAGGAGAGTTATTGCCACTCACGCATGAGCAGTTCGTACATGCAACTTGGCCGTCGGCTGAAGTCTTTGCGGTGTTCCAGTGCGAAACATGGCCAAAACGCAGGAGACGCGAGGCGACGTTCCATCGGGAGGTGTTCTTTGGTGTCAGTTTGGTGTGTAAGGACCTTAAAGAGCCTGTGACAGCATCCCAACAACTGTTGTGCAATGAAATATTGGGCTACTAGTAATCTCGAACCGTCAGTTTAAAAAAGAAAAAGCGATACCGTTCCGTTAAATATCAATAATTTCGAACATCGCGGGAAATTCCTTTGACTCATTTTGAAGTTTTGGGGGAAGCCGGAAGTGACGTCAATGCGGGAACGCTTCACTGTGCGGCGAGAGAGCCAAACACGGACAAAGTGTGTCGTCATGCGTAGAAATGGTGAATTACTGAGTTTAGGCACGTTAATAACGTTTTAATGAAGTTTACTACAGTATATTCATATTTGTCAGTGCTTTCATGTCAATTCGGCGAACATAAACATACATGATCGTGGTGAAGATGATGATTACATTAGGATTACAAATCGGTAGTGAGAGCTGCTGAATTTCCTCCCGTAGGATGTGATATAAAAACAAATCGATTATTTTTGTAGTTGTAAACTCAAGTGGATGAAACTACATTTATTAGTGCTTTCATGTCAATTCGGCGAACATATAATACATTAAATGATCGTGAGGATGATGATTAAAAATAGTTTGTTTCTGCATTTCCTGATGAGAAAACAAACCGATGCTTTTTGTAGTTGTACACCAACATGGATTAAACGTGTGTTTTTTTTTACCACAATGTTGGGGAAATTAATGGATAAAATGCACGGATTATTATTATTATTATTCCCACTCCGATCGGGACACTAGGTCCACCGTTTCCCCGCAGCGAGGCTCCCCCCGTTGACAGTTTACGTGGGCTGGGTGCAGTGGCGGACTGGCCATCGGGACCAATCCCGATGGGCCGGTACCGAAGTGGGCCGGTCGGATAAGTCACTAGCACATCCCCCATAGGCGGCGCGTGAGGCTCAGGTTTGGGAAGGCTAAATAACTTTTTTTACCTGCCGCTGCCCGCCTCCGGCATCTATAGAAAAGAGATCAACTCAGTGTGCGGAGTTTAAATCTCTCAAGTCATATTACAGGATAAAGGAAATACAGTTTAAACTGCCGTATGCAGAGAAGACGCCGACGTGTCGCACTTATCATTCATATTACATCATCAATCAGATCATCGATCATATAATATCATAATATATCATATATTTCCTTATCTGAGTCAGCTTCTCCAGCCGTATCTGGCCGTGCAACACTTACAGTGTCACATACTGTATGCAGAAGTATTATTTTAAGCAACACATTATGTTGACGAAACACTCGAGTCAAATGTAATTAAAGTCAGATCCACTCGTGTCTTAGACGTGAACGCGCTCTCAGCTGGTGAGAGAAACCCTGGCTTGATTTACCGAGTTGATAACCAGCGTCGTAGGACCGCTTAGCGAGATCTCGTTTGTTAGTTTGTTGTTGTTAGTTTGTTTGTTACTCAAACATATCCAGGGTCTGTTGAACTGGCTTCGTAGAACAGGGCACAGGTGGCTGGCAGCGCTAATGTCAAAGACACAGACATTGCAATATATTTGTATTTTACCAGGATGCAGTGACACAAATATTTGGGAAGGCTTAGCCTTCCCTAGCCTACAGCACCCGCCGCCCCTGACATCCCCCACTCCCCCCGTTGACAATTTACTAGCGGTACCGAAGTGGGCCGGTCGAGAGTCCCGGGATGATTTTTAGTCCCATTCCACCACTGGCTACATGACCGTATGATCGCCCATATTGACGCACCTAATTCCTAAACTTCTAACAGATACAACATAAACCGATCCTTCAGCCTCATATGAGCTCTCAGACACGTTCAAAATTAAACTGTCATCGCTGTCTGAGCTTGCTGCTCTGTGCGCCATCGTGCGTTTACATGCAGATGCTGGGATCCTGAACGGTGCAGCTGGAGCGCTGTGCCCGCAATGACGTCACACGTAATTTGGCGGGACTTGAAGAATCCCCGAGAAGATCCAGGAAATGGTCAACATTGAAGGGCAGATTAATGGTTATCAAAGTACAAATATCCAAAATCAGTTCAGTAACGGTTTTCAAGGGGACAATATTTACTCAAATTGATGGGTTTGGATGATGGGGGAAACTCGTGTCACAGGCTCTTTAAGCTGTACTGTTCTGTAGGCTAATACTTTAAGTGGGAATCTATACGCCTACTGCCTGAATCTGTTTATGGTTTTCACTTTCTTTGGTTAATTTGTTCTCTTTTTAATTCAGCAGCTGAACCTTGATGTTCATAAAATAGTGTGTGTGAGCTTAACTGTGGGCAGGATTTCCTATGAATAAAATCATTTCTGATGCTAAACTTGTAGCCTACCTGTGTAGCTTGAGCTCGTTCTCCTGGTACATTTCTGTCATAATCTGGAGTTTCTGTTGTAATTTTTGGACCTAAACACGTGGAGAAAATAAATTAATCCCAAAGCAAATTAATGTGAAACAAGAATAAAATAAAACATCACACTAATATGAGGCAGGTACCTGATCTGAGTATGTCTCAGCTTCTGATTGCAGAGAGGACTTCTCCCTTTCCATCTCCTTAATGCTCACTAAAGGGGAAAAAACACAGATGTTTTTATGTTGTACAGATTAAATACATCATTTGGAATTGGAAATCTAAATTGTTGTGTAGTTGCCTCACCTTGCAGGTCTTCTTTAGCTTTGACTTCATCGTCCAGTTTGGCAAATAATCTGTCCTTGTCTTCATCGACAGATTTGAGGTCTGCATTCAGCTACACACAATAACACAAACAAAAAGTCAGCACTCAGTGAAGAGGAAAGATGTTTCCGATCAAGTCAATGTTTTTTGTCCGTTTGTGTCAAATACTTTAGCAGCGTAGATGAGTTTCTGGACTTTCTGCAGATGGCCTTGTGTGTCCTTAATAATGTCTCCTTTTCCGTTCTGGGCTGTACCGTTGGACGTCTCCTTCTCTCCTTCTTCCTCACCTTCCCCCTCCTCCAGTTCTGAATCCCAAGCTTTCATACTCAGCAGGCGATCTGTCAAAGACTGGAGGCGTACACATAATAGGTGTTACGTTTATGCCAAACAACACAAAGTAATGTGAACTAATATCATCACTGTAATGCACAATATGCCATTATCAGCCACTAGGGCAAAAACAAAAGAAGGTGTTTGGTGGCTTTGTGAAGGAGTATGTTCCTGCAATCTCCAATAAATCCTTCCTTGTATATCAATCAGGAGGTTTTTTACTGAGAACCGAATTATACGCATACAGAAGTCCCCTCCTCTCCAAAACTAACAGTCTCTTGGATAGGTAAGTTTGAGAAACCGGCTCGAGATACACTTTTTGTTATATTCCATGGAATGCTCTTAACATCCCGATAGCAATGAATATCTGAAGTGCTTTGACTAAAAATCCATAAAGAAATGTCATCTGTGGAAGCCGTAGTACTGTAAAAAGACGACCAATCATCTGAGCCGGCCCGGCTAAAGTAACTGGATGGCCTACCTGCCTGTCAGCCTTCCATCTGTGCACAAACTTATCTCGTGCCCTCATTGGTCATGTGCGCGTTCGTGTGTGTTGGAGGAGGGGCTCTGTGAGGAAGTGGCAGATTTGTTCCGGTTGTGTATTTTCAAATTCTAGCGCACTCCAGCTGGTTTCTCCAAACTTACCTACCCCACCTTTAATGAAGCAGTTTCACATTCAAAATCAATTTCTCCCCAATGCAGATAACCTTCCTCAGGCAGTGTGTTTGTACCGGGGACAGGAGACCCCCCCTTGATGAGAAACTCTAAGAAATGATCGGGGAATCCCTCCGGAGTGGAGTCATGACGACTGGATCTGAATTATGTTTTTGTATTTGGTGGTTTGTGTCCCAGCTGTCGATCAGCTGTGCGCAGCGTCTCCACTGCAGCCTGTGCGTCTCGGTCACGGTGCTTATTAAGCATTTTAAAACGTATGTGGTAAGTTACCAAAGTGCTTTGTTCTGAACGTTCATCAGTATTATAATCAAAAAGATAAATATGAACGTTAGTTTTTACTGAAATGATCAAATAAAGTCAACATCTCACAGTCTTTACTGAGCTGTGTGGGGTTTGTTCAACTTTTAAAAGATGTTTGAATGGTGATATACACAGTGATAGATGTTAAGGACTAACGTTTATAATAAATACATTTGTATTGATTTTAAGATCTTTTCATAGTTCATACAATCATAGTATTGGGATCATTTGTATTAATGTGGACCGGAGGGAGAGGGTGACGAGCATAAGTTTCACTTTCCTTTTTTATTTCCATTCCAACTTTGGTCATGAAGAATATGTTTCTCTGTTGTCCACGTTCATAAAGCATAAAGCAACAGCATCAGAGCACGGTGCAGAGTCTCTAGATGAGTTTACAGTAGTCCCTCCTTCTTATTAAACATCCATGTTGTAGTCCGCTGTATAGAAAACTGTAGTTTCCATAGTTTCCCCACAGCAGCAGACGCACATTCATGACGTCCGCTGGAGCATCATAAACACGTCGGATAGTGAAAGTGCATTCGATTCTCTAAAGTACCGCGGTCTCTTCTCCTAAATCCTTTTGAATTCTCCTATCCACTATCCCTTAACCCCATGACGTTTCAGTCAGAGGTCAAGGAATAGGAGATAGGGTTAGACGATAGGGGCTGATTTTTGGATTATTCGACCGCAACCTAAGGATCAGTGTTTCCCTGGCCAAATGATGGAGGGGCTACAAGCAGAAGGCTAACGTTTTCTCACATTGTTTCTCTGATACCTTACAGTATGTTTCAGACTATCGATTGTTTGATTAAAACATAATAGTTATACATGCCAAATGTATATCATTTGTATTGCAAAATGTGGCTTGAAACTGGATAAAAGGTCGATTTTGCAGAAAATCACAACTTGGACTGGAGGGGGAAAAGTCTGCATTAGAAGCGACCAAATGAAACAAAAGGTTACTTAAAAGATTGTAGATGTATCCAGGTTTGAATTATGTTTTGGGGATAATGCAAACACATGACTCAACAAAAGAAAAAACATAGGTCTAGTGGTTTTTAGAAATGTGCATGCTGAAATGTTAGATAAAACAACTAAGTTCATCTTCTCTCCTGCCTGAGAGGATCAGGGCTGGAAACTGTCTGCTCTTTCAATCTGTTTTCTATTAGAATTGCTTTTAAGTCAGTTTTATTTATTTTTCTTGGTTTTATAATGTGAGTAGTTGCCAGTAATTGTATCCTCTGTATGTACTAAAGATGCTTTATTTTCAGAAAGGGAAGTACCATCGACGACTGCAACATTTATATTTAACTGAGTTATAGAAATAAAACGTGGAGTCTTCTTGGATAGTAGTTCAAGATATTTCCAGTTTTTGAATCAGATTAAATAAATAACACAGATTTCTAGCTGCACCCATATACATAAGGCTGCAACATACTAATATGAATGCTAGTACAGAACATACCATGATGCGCTCGTCCTTGGTGGCGACGTCCTGCAGCATCCCGCTGTGAGCCACCTCACACCGGCTCATATCCGCCTCCAGCTCACTCACTCTCTCTGCCCACCCCTCCACCTGCTGCCTCAACTGCAGGGAGCAACACAGAGCAAGGGTGAAGACTTCATTAGAAAAAAACATAAACTAGTACAGTATGTGATTGGATGGACTTAATGGAACAAACTAGCTCAAACTTATTCTAACCATACAAAAGCAAAACAACTCCACATGCATGCAGTGGTTCTCAACTGGTCAGGCCTCGGGACCCACTTTTTCCTTTGTCAATAAATCAAGACCCAACATTTTGAACCACTCAAATCTATTCAACAACAAATGGTGCTGTAATATATACGCTTTTCAGCATGCAATATGAATGAAAGTGAAGTACAGTGCATATATCGCTTCACAGAACTAAAGTATGCTTTAAAAAAGGTTTAATGAGACGATGGAATCAAAGCTGAACTGTATCACATAAAAAAGGCACACGTGCTGAAAACCCAACCCCAGCAGGGGGTCTGGGGGGATTCTCCCCTGGGAGATTTTTAGAAATACTAACATATAAACTACGCATTCTGGTACAAGAAGAAAATAAATAAATGTATTACTACCCGACATATTAATAATATGTTATGCCATTGTTTGTGTTTCACTTTGAAGCTGAACTTGCTGCTCCTCACAGAGAGAAGAGTAAAGAGGAGAGAGTCTGTGTGAATTACTTTAAATAGTGGGTAGGGTAGATAGCCCCCATTGTTCTGTGACCTGTCAATCATCAAAAACCGGGGGTCATATTTCATTATGTGTTCATTTGTATCTGAAGTTGTACCCATGGATGTATAAAGAACAGTTCTACATCAAAGTTATTCTCCGTGTGTGTGTGTGTGTGTGTGTGTGTGTGTGTGTGTGTGTGTGTGTGTGTGTGTGTGTGTGTGTGTGTGTGTGTGTGTGTGTGTGTGTGTGTGTGTGTGCTAGGGCTGACCCAAATGATTGACAGTTCGTTGAATAAAGTCCTATGAAATGTTTTTGAAACTCTCTGGGCACTGCGTGTTTTGTGCTGCCTCAGCCACAAACCCCCTCACACTTCATCAGAGCGGAGCCTGTTCATTCTATTCAAAGTGTTGGATACGCTTACGACCCAAAGAAGGTGACATAACTGTTGCTCCTTTCTCATAATATGCGAAAACGGATGGGAGGAAAAAACTCAGCAGTAACTGATCGATATAAAATGACCAATAATATATATATATATATAATTCTGTTTGAATTGTGTATGATCTCATGGCGTGAATTAGAAATAAAGTTTTTTTGCACTTTAGTTGTTTTCTTTTTGCATTTGTTTAGTTATTTTGATGGCGTTACAACTTTGTTATACTTTTATAAAATGTGTTGTGTGGTAATTGTGTTATATTGTGTTGAGGGAAAATGAAATGAAGGTTCAGGGTTTGTCCAAGCTGCTTGTTCCGGCACACATGAAACATCGTTGTGGTGATTGTTCCGTTAGCATTGTTGCTAACTGGCGGATCGCTTTCTCTGTCAAGCGCTTTGATGTTACTAATAACGTTCTACCTCAGCCGGGAACTGAAACCATTTTGTGAAGTCAGAAATAATAATATTAATAATCGGAATACAACACAAACGTGCGAGGACTAGTCAACTTACGGCTTGAACTGACGACTACTGTTCGAATAAAAACACTTTTTTCAGGGCGACCAAAGTGTGTAATAAACCCTACCTGAGCGTTGCTCTCCCGCAGCAGTGTGTTCTCCTCTCCGGCTGTTCCCAGATTCCTCTGCAGTCTGTCACTGTTCATGCTGTACACCTTCAGAGTGGTCTGTGCCTGGAGATAAAGAGGCAGAGATTGATATCCCATAGTCATGTGAAACGCAAATAAAGGAACAGACTGAGCAGAGAAGGAAAAGACAGGAACAAGTAATGGTACCTGCTCTTCCTGTGACTGGAGGTCTTTGGTTTCTTCTTCAAATGTTGTCATGCTCTCTTCAAGCACTGCTATCTGAAACCACAAAACCACAAAAATAATCCAATCAAATCCCACACTTAATATCGGATTCCTTATTTGAATGTCACTTTGAGTCCTCCTACCCTTTTTTCCTGCTCTATCCTGTGTTCTCTATGCTGCTCCAGCTGCTCCTTCAGTTCTTCCAGATCTCTGTCCAGCTCCCTTTTAGATTCTTCCAACTGCCTGGCTTTGACCTGGGGGAGCGGGAAAACAACATGTGTCCAAGTGTGAGCAAAAGAGTGCGAGTGAGTGAGGATTGAACGCCATATCGACTTGTAAAGATGATGATTGCTAAATAAAGCATTCACAAATAATGGCAAAAAGAAATCAGTTACTTCAAGTTCAGGACAGTTTGGGATGAAGTGGACACAACAAAATGCCATGAGGTTTTTGGGTACATTTACAAAGACAAAAAATAAATAAATAATGTCTTATGTACAAAGATTTCTTGAAGCAACACATACACCGTCTCTCTTTAATTCTCTTTTCCCGTGTGCCTTACCTCGAGCTCTTCTGTCTTCTGAGTCTGTGCCAAGACTCCACTGTCCCTCAGAGAGCTCTCCACCTCATAGTACTGCGAAAGACACAAAGGGAGGAAATACATCTGATGAAATGTGGGCAGCACTTAAACTTAAAGCCATGATTAACAAACCACTTTATTGAATTTCAGATGAACAAACAGTGTTGTGTGAACCGAATTCAATATCAAAAAACTCTTCCGTTCACACGCAATCGGCTCAATTAACGTGTCCGTTCACACAAGACCGCTCGACCCGCTGGAGACGCTGTAGTACATATGCCGGGCCTGTAAGTGGCGCTGTACTTCCGCTACAAAATACACCAAAATCAGCGAAGAAGACGTCCCGAGCATGGTTGCCTTTCTGTTTATTCTCCGCGGTGGATTTGGCAGCAGAGGTGGGGAGAGGCAGGGCTCTGGCTGTTTCTCTTTTTCTCCCTCCCGAGGCAAGCGCGTGCTCCTGCTCCTGCTCACCTCCACGGGGGTGAGCAGGAGAGGTGGGGAGAGGCGGGGATATGGCGCATAGGGCGTACACATAGGCCTGTCACGATAATTAATTTTGTTGGACGATAAATGTTCCTGGAAATTATTGCGATAAACGATAATATCGTCTGTAAGACCATTTTAAACCACTGACATAATGATAATATATAATAATAATTCAAGCACATCCTTTCAAACATAACTTTTAATTGAACATCCAACATTGCAAATGAAATGTGAAATAATATTCAAATATATAAATGATATATTATAATAAATAAAACAAATTAATTAAATGATAATAAATTAATTAAATCACACACAACCAAAACAATAAATTAAATAGACTCAGGCTGGAAAACAGAGCTCTCTATCTATATATAAATAAATAAATAAATATGAGCACACATTGTCCCACAAGCCAAAAAAACCTCCTTAAAACAACAGTCACGTGTACAGTCCACTGTCCATACAAAGACCCAGATGCCTCAACAGGCCATATCCAAAACTGTTTTTCAAAGTCTTTGAGCAAGGAACACCAACATGTTTCGGGAAGGTGGGGGCTCTCCATCTCCAGCTGCTGTGTTTGCTACCAGCTGGGAAAACGGAATGGGGTGGTTGTGTTTTAGGTGTAGTTTACAATGCGTGGTATTGCCTGCTTTTGTCGCTACCTTTTTTAAACATGCGACACACCGCCCGGCTCATTCAAGTCCGTAGGTTCGCCTCGTTGATTTGGCTTGAATCCAAAATACTGCCACACCGGAGAATCGAGATGTGTAGTTAGGTTTTGTAACCAATTCCATTTCACTTTAAATTCCAAGCGAGTAAGTCACACGTTGTCTCCCGCTTGTCGCTATATTATTAATTTGGCTTCTACGCTGCTGCACGTGCACGCGGAGTGTCCTGACCTGGCTGTGTGTCAGCCCCGCCCCTCACAGCGCTCCTAGCTAAAATGCTGGTCACATCCTTATGTAAATGTGAATGTAGCGCCTCAGTGTCAGTCAGCTTTAGCACGAGTACAGACCTCTTGTTGACATTTGCTGAGAGTCTCCAGGACTTTACACTTGTCATCCAGGAGCTGCGTAACCTGCTCACCCATCCTCCGCTCTCTACCTGAAAACACACAAAACAATGCTCAGAACGCATTCAAATCTTTGTTTTGTTATTTCTGGGAGAGTTTGCATAGGCAATGCAAATGTATTTGCAATAAATTAAGCTACAAAGCTTTTAACGATTCCGTACAGCTCTAATCATTTGTGATGTATTTGTGTTAAAGTCATAAAAAAAATAGATATTATGAAAAAATAAGTCAGAACTTACTTCGATACATTCTGCTTTTGACCTGTGAAAAATAAGAAGAAAGCAATGGTGACCAAGAAGTACTAAAGAGATTCATTCTTAATAAATAATCATTAGTTATGTGGAATGAATAGCTATGTGGGTAACGTCAAGCAACAGACAAGCTAGGACTGTCTTGTAAAATCTAGAAAATACATCACTTCACTGTAATGCAGCCTCTTAAAACCAGGAAAAGACCATCTAATACAATAACTTGTCTCATATCACAATATGGATATAATATGAATATATTGCTGAGCCCTAAAAGGGATACATCGGTTTATAAATGGACCATAGGAACAAGTGGGTTGTGTGTTGTGTGATGATGATGTGTTTATATGAACAGTACATGTGTGTGTACTCACAGAGCTGTAAAATCTACAGGTGAACAGCAGCATCGTCACCAGCCCCACCAGACCGGACACGATGACCGGTTCCCATGGTAACCCGTACAGGTCTGGCCCGGGTCTGATGTCATCAGGCAGTGCCAATACAACCTGAACAAAGAGGGGAGGAAATCTGGTTCATTTAGGATTTGAAACATAGTTAAAAGAGATGGGTACCTTGGTTTCATCTATTTAACTGAGAGGAGTCCCAATCCTTGTGGTGAATGTTATTGTTATTCAAATTGACCACTGAATGTATATTATATCATTTGGTATCGCAAGTAGTAAGCCATGACTAGTAATCCTACTAGTCATGTGATGTATGTTTACTCAAGTACTGTACTGAAGTACGATTTAAGGGTACTTGTACTTTACTTGAGTATTTTGTTATGCTATTTTATACCCACTACATTTATTTGATAAAATTAGATACAAGTTTCTTTACATATCTATTTTATTAGCCATTACAAAATATAAATAATCTCTGCTATAAAATTATAGGTTAAATATCCAGCAGTAGTATATAAAGTAATTAAAAGTAGCTCCACTTGTACCAGCTGTGATGAACACAATGCATACAAAATAACAATCAAGCTTTTTATGATAATAAATTGAGACATTACTTTAACTTTTGGTACTTTAAATATATTTTGATATTATGTTTGTACTTTTACTTGTAATGGAGTACTTTAAGATCATAGCATTTGTACTTTTACTGGTAAAGGATCACAGTACTTCCTGTTAAACGAATTAGATAGTGGCTTATCTAGCGCAAATGATCTCATACAAAGACAATAACAACAGAAAACACCGCAGGAAAGCACATCACCTGTTCAGACGTTCAGACAAACTAACGTTACTATCAATTAGCTAGCTAACCATTACTAGATAAACAATATTATGACAAACAATTCTGAAAAAGCGTCTTAAAATATCACTGTAGTGCTGACAGCTGGCGAACAGCACTGGCACTACACACACGAAGTCAAACATGAGCTGTATAAAAACAACATATGAACTTAGTTATAATACTGAGCTATTTTCCAAAGCTTGACAATCTGTTACGTTATGTCAGTTGGCTAGTTAAGAAATGCTAACAAAACCTGCCACATAACGTACATCCTTCACTTTCTCCACGGCGATACTGTAGTAAGCCTCTGCCGTCGTCTGGAAGTCGACCGCTTTAATTGCCAACCGGTCGCTTGCCGTAAGTTCCTCCATTGCCGAATTAGGTCATTTGGTTATTTTACTGATATGTGTCATTTAAAAACGGACATTTAAGAAACGGTAGCCATCAACCGGGCTAGCTAGCGGCGGATTTCACATCCTATTCACAACACCGAAGCTCAAGAGTGGACCACGTCACATTCAACTTCGTAGGGGTGGCTGGATGTTGGATAGTCTCTAAAAACTCCTCGTAGATATTCCACTAGGTTGCTATTGCCTCCGAATATGAATATACACATAATTGAATATATTTCCACAAGTTATAAATACATATAAACTAGGTTGAGCATATACAGGTGTGTGTAGATATGCTCACACCCCCACCAGTGGAAATGGTTCACACGCAACGTCACCAATTGTAAACTGCCACACTGGCACATCGGAGCACTTTTAAAGTGACACCAAAAGAAACAGGTGTCACTAAATAGAGAGTTTTCAATGTCGTCTTTAATAACTTCTCAAATATCTAACATCATTTTTGTATTCTTAAATCGTAAAAAAAATATCACATAAATCACATAAACCATGTTTCTCGAAATGTTACGGCGGCAGACATTTAGGCATAACAGGCCAGTCTAAAGTAGGACATAGGTAGGACACACTGTAGAGGAAGATTCGACTGTCGCCAAATATGTTGAAATGTACTTACCGACCTGGCCTCCTTTTCGTCCATTTGAAACTACAGAATTAATATACTCCTTAAAACATTTACAACACTTTGCCTTTAGAGCAAGTGGGTTACCAGCTGGCTCAACTTGTGTAATAGAGCCACCAGCACTGAGGAATGTGAGTTATGATGACGGAGCACAGCAAGTTTGACAGCTGAGAGAGAGTCAGAGCAACATGTTTAATGCTTTAAAGAAGTATACTCTCTATACAGGGTGAAAACACAGCTGTGTGAACCTCTAAAGGTGTCTAATGGCGTATTTCCACTGCAGGGCCTCCCACGGCTTAGTACAGTATAGTTAAGTACCTTTTGTCAATTTCAAAAGATCCCAAAAATGCCCTATAGAAAAATTACCAATTAGGCAAGAAGGAGGTTTATGTTAGGCTATCTGATAAAAAGCTTAAAGTGGGTCAGGCAATAGTTTTGAGTAAACAAAATGCATCCTGCTATGACCTCAGTTACAATTGTAGACTGTAGGCTATAGGTTGCAATGCTGCAGGGGGAAAACATTGAATGAAATGTGGCTCAGCAGAACTGACAGTATTGTGATTTTTGCAAATACTGTAACGCTAGCAGTGGAAATAGACTGATAAATCACATATTTGTGTTGGCTTCAGTGCATGTTGACCTTTTTAACATACAATGTGTTTTAGCTGTGAATTGGAAGTTGTATGACAAACACTTATACTTCCATGTATGTTAATGTGAAGCTAACTCTTACCTGTACAATAAGCCATATAAGGAGCTCCTTCACTGCATGAACATGAGTGGTTGAGTCTTCAGCAATCTGATGAACTAAATCCAAAATGTGCTTCATTATCCCTGGAATAGAGTCACAAACATAATGGAATTAAAAATGTATGCTTTCCCCCTTTTGTCACAATGATATATTATCAAAATTCAAATAATTTATATTTAAAATGGTATAATTCACTTCTATTCAAATATAGAACTTTCCTCTTAGCTGTAGTGTAATTTATCAGTCGAGATAGTTTTGAAGTGAGTAGCCGAGTGTTTGAATTACGCACGCTTCCTTTGGCACGATGATATGGTTGGCGAGTGTTTTACGGTAGAAATAAACCCTTTCCTGAAACTGCTCATTACAATGTCTGGATTATCTTGGGGAGCATGATTTCTGGAAAATAGTCATTGCTGTTGAGTTCCTAAATGTATTTTTGAGCATTTGCTTTACAGGTATGGGAAAACATTTTCTGATTTTGAGTTAATCTCTGTTACATGTATTAATGTACTGTCGTGATGTTCCAGATTGTGTGTAGCAGCTTGAAGAATCAGCAGACCTCGTCTTGTCATATCTCACTATATATCTTTTAATCATCTTGGAACCCTTTTTGATTAACGGATACTTGATTCACCCATACCTTCCAGAGGCTGTGGTGATCCTGGCTGATTCTCTTTCACTCTCTCTTCTTCCCCTCTTTGTCCCTTCTCTGCTTTTCTGTCATCCTCAGTCGACATCTCATTTCCTGTATCTCCACTCAGTCTTCCATTCTCCTTATCAACTTTCCTCCAATCATCTCTTGGAGCATTGTCATCCAGGCCTACAGACAAATCTTCCTCAGTGGCCTGATCCTTATCTTTGATGCGAGTTGAACAAGATTCACCAACACAGCTGGCCTCGGCTGCATTTAACAGGGAAACACATGCATTCAATGAGATTAATTGAGATCATCGCAAGTCAAACCCATACTAATATCGGATGTAATTATTGACCTTTAAGGACATGTAGCCATACAATACTTGATGCTACTGATTCACCTGATTTGAAAGTCTCTCTCACTCTTTCCAGAAGCATTTCTAGTTTCTGAAGTGCGATGAGAGCTTTGGTCTTTTCTTTATCCTCCTGAGGTGCGTCCGCGAGCCTCATGCTAGGAGCGACCAGTGCCTCTCTGTGATAAAGCAAAAGTATTTCTATATCCAGCAATATGGATTCATCATTGTCCGGGTCATCGTTCACGGTTCCCAAGCTTCCTAAAATGTAATCCAAGAACTGCAGCTTGTGTGGCCCAAAGAGTTCCACGAGAATAGTCGTCTCGTCATCGTTCATGTGGGCGTGGAGGTTCTTGTAAAGTTTGGTGAGGGTTTTTGTTTGGAGGTGGCTTTCTGGGGACGGAAGCGATGTCTCTGAAGAGGTAAGAGAAGGCAGAAGTTGCTGCTGTGGCATGGTGATGGAAGAAGGCAACTCTTGCACCTGATTCGAATCAGTGGTTGATTCCAGTTCTTGATCAAGGGTAAGAGATGCTGGTTCCTCAGATGTCTCACCTGTGTTGGAGTCCAAATTTGGGGTAGATTCTTTGGATTTTTTGGATTCTTTGGTTTCGGCAACGGGGGTTTCGCTAAAAAAGCTAAAGGCATTTTTGAAAAGTCCAAATGCTCCGCCACTTCCGGTCTCTGCTTCCTTTTGATTCTGACTATCAGACGGAAGAGTTTGTTCAGATATTATATCCCGGTTTACGACATCTGGAACCTCGATTCCTCCCTCTGTACTGTCTTCAGAACCAAATGCATTGCCATCTAAAATGTTCCCCTGTATATTATTATGCTTCACGTTTATCTCCCTCTCTTCCCAGCTTTGGTCACTTTCACCTAAATCGAGCAGATCAATGTTTTCTGCCTCATTCTGCTTTCCATTCCTATTATCATCCCTTTTCCCCTTCTCCTGTATTCCATCGTCATCTCTCACTATGCCTTTGAATGGTACCTTTAGACTCACTCCTGTCCTATCTGCTAATATTTGATAATTGTCAGGATAATTGTCGATTGCCCCTTCATTTATTTGGCTCAACTTATCTGCAGAATCACCTCCATCTTCGGCCCTCCCAAATCCTTCTTGAACGGCATTTATATTGAACTCCACAAAACTTGAGTCAGGCCCTAAAGTGAGGTCATGTTGTGTCCGAAAGTCCTGATCAGTGTTGTTTTTAGCTCTGAAATCTTCTCCTGACTCTCCGTTGCTATCCTCCTCCCCGTTTTCTATTGATTTGGGCATCTGATGAAATTGACCATTTATAGTCTTTGGAGAAATATATTTTACATTAACCTTGGATTCTGCATCTTCAGGTAAGACACTATACTTACTGTCTAAAGTACCCATATCAATAGAATTACTGCCATCATTTTGGTCTTTTGGAGTTTCTTCAACCTTTGATTCACTGCTAGGTTCTGTCCTTACCTCATCTGTCAGTTCGCCGTGAGATTGACTGGTATTCTCTTGTTTTAAAGTTGTTTTCTCTTCTATCTCCTTGAACCTACCTTCTGCACTCTCATCAACTTGACTCTCGTCTTTCCTAAAGCCTAAAATGTCCCCAATCCCCATATTCAACCAAGAACCTGACACTGGTTGTTCCTCCTCTGTGATTAACTCCCTATCCTCTTTTTCAGGTGTGGTATCTTGCTCTGAATCCTTATCGGTCCGAACAAACCCCAATGTGTTCGGAGAATCACCTCCATCTTTGGCCCTCACAAATCCGTATTGACCAGCTTGAGGACTAAGATTGTTTGGATATTTGAGGCTCCCCTCTTCTTCTTTGTTCCTTATGTCGCCCTCCACATTCTCTGGACTCTCATTGTCTCTTTCAGTGTCAGGTAAAAATTGGACGTTGTTTTCAATCTCAACCTTAAATTGAGACTGTTCAACCTCTTTCTTTTCTATTTCCTTAACTCCTTCCATCTTCTCTAACTCCTCTCTTTCGTTATCTTCTTTTGACCCTTCCAGTTCTTTGTGTTTTTCCTCCTCTACCTCGATCTCTTGCTGCTTCTCATCTTTTTTTAACTCCTCTATATTCTTATCCTGCATCTCATCCAGTTCCTCCTCTTCCTTAATTTCCTCTTCCTCCCACTGCTTTGCCTTTTCCTCTAACTCCTCCTCTTTCGGTTTGGCCTCTTCTTTTATCTCCTTCAAATCCTCCCGTTTCTCCTTGTCCTCTATCTCCTTCAAGTCCTGCGGTTTCGCTTCTTCTTGTATTTCCTTCATTTCCTTGTGTTTACCCTCATGCTTTATCTCCTTCACTGGTTGCTGTTCTTCCTCTCCTTTTTTCCCCTCTGCTTCCTCCTGTTTCCCTTCTTCCTGTATCTCCTTCACTTCCTCCTGGATTCCCTCTTCCTGTATCTCCTTCACTTCCTCCTGTATTCCCTCTTCCTGTATCTCCTTCACTTCATCCTGCATTCCCTCTTCCTGTATCTCCTTCACTTCCTCCTGTATTCCTCCTTCCTCTATCTCCTTCACTTCCTCCTGTATTCCCTCTTCCTGTATCTCCTTCACTTCCTCCTGTATTCCCTCTTCCTGTATCTCCTTCACTTCCTCCTGTATTCCCTCTTCCCGTATCTCCTTCACTTCCTCCTGTATTCCCTCTTCCCGTATCTCCTTCACTTCCTCCTGTATTCCCTCTTCCTGTATCTCCTTCACTTCCTCCTGTATTCCCTCTTCCTGTATCTCCTTCACTTCCTCCTGTATTCCCTCTTCCTGTATCTCCTTCACTTCCTCCTGTATTCCCTCTTCCTGTATCTCCTTCACTTCCTCCTGCATTCCCTCTTCCTGTATCTCCTTCACTTCCTCCTGTATTCCTTCTTCCTGTATCTCCTTCACTTCCTCCTGTATTCCCTCTTCATGTATCTCCTTCACTTCATCCTGTATTCCCTCTTCCTGTATCTCCTTCACTTCCTCCTCCATTCCCTCTTCCTGTATCTCCTTCACTTCATCCTGTATTCCGTCTTCCTGTATCTCCTTCACTTCCTCCTGCATTCCCTCTTCCTGTATCTCCTTCACTTCATCCTGTATTCCCTCTTCCTGTATCTCCTTCACTTCCTCCTGCATTCCCTCTTCCTGTATCTCCTTCACTTCCTCCTGCATTCCCTCTTCCTGTATCTCCTTCACTTCATCCTGTATTCCCTCTTCCTGTATCTCCTTCACTTCCTCCTGCATTCCCTCTTCCTGTATCTCCTTCACTTCATCCTGTATTCCCTCTTCCTGTATCTCCTTCACTTCCTCCTGTTTCACTTCCTCCTGTTCTTCCTTTTCCTTTTGTTCCTCTACTTCCTCCTGTTTCCCCTCTACCTTTATCTTCTTCACTTGTTGCTGTTCTTCCTCTTCCTGTATCTCATTCACTTCCTGTTGTTCCGAATCATCCTTTATGTCCTTCACTTCCTCCTGTTTCCTCTCTTCTTTTGTCTCTTCCTGATGTTTCTTCTCATTCTGTATCTCCTGCACTTCCCGTTGGCTCCCTTCTTTCTGTATCTCTTTTGCTTCCTCCTGTTTGCCCTGTTCCTTTATTTCCACCACTTCCTGCTGTTTTTCCTCTTCCTCTAACTCTGCTACCTCGTCCTGATTTCCCTCTACCTTTAACTCCCCTACTTCCTCAGTCTTAATGTTTGTTTCCAGGCCTATAGCTGACTTTAGACCACTTTCATTTAGAATGTTCTCTTCAAACTCCAATGTTTCTCTCTCAGTTTGAACTGGTTGGATTTGGTTTTCACGATCGTTCTCAATTTCCTTAACTGTTTCCTTAAGCTCATGTGAATCGCCATCACTTTGTGAGTGTTCCTGTGGCAAATTTGGAGAGTCCTGACCTGCATTGTTTTCCATCTGTGTTGTGCTCTCACTTGTGGATAACGTTCCTCTCTCGATATCTGAGGCATTTTCATACAGAGTGTCAGTACCGCTATTTCTAGAATGGGATGATCCAATGTCCTGAGAGCTGCTCTCCAAAGGGTGCAACTCCCCCTTGGTTTCTGTGTTATTATTAATCATAGAATCTGAATCATCAAGTACCTCCATCTCTGCGATATTCCTTTCACGACTATGTGCCCCGAGGCCCCCGACTATATTGGTGGATGCTTCCGTGTTTATGATCTGAATCGGTACCTTGACCCCTTCCTCGAGGTCACCCTTTGTTGTGCCCTCCTCAGCCTCGCCTACAGATTGTCCCGCGGCATTCGAATTTAACTCCAAAAATCTCGAGTCAGGCCCTAAAGTGAGGTTAGGTTGTGTTAAAAAGTCCTGATCAGTGTCACTTTTAGCTCTGAAATCTTCTCCTGACTCTCCGTTGCTATCCTCACCCCCTTTTTCTATTGATTTGGGCATCTGATGATCTTTACCATTTATAGTCTTTGGAGACATATCTTTTACATCAACCTTGGATTCTGCATCTTCAGGTAAGACACTATACTTACTGTCTAAAGTACCCATATCAATAGAATTACTGCCATCATTTTGGTCTTTTGGAGTTTCTTCAACCTTTGATTCACTGCTAGGTTCTGTCCTTACCTCATCTGTCAGTTCGCCTTGAGATTGACTGGTATCCACATTCTCTTGGTCTAAAGTTTTGTTCTCTTCTGTCTCCTTGAACCTACCTTCTTCACTCCCATTCACTTCACTCTCGTCTTTCCTGTAGCCTAAAATGTCCCCAATCCCCATATTCAACCAAGAACCTGACACCGGTTGTTCCTCCTCCTTGATTACCCCCCTATCCTTTTTTTCACGTGTTGCCTCTTTTTCTGACTCTTGATCAGTCCGACCAAACCCCAGCGTGTTTGAGAGTCCATTTCCTAGCCAACCCAATGTCCCCATTTCCTCCTTCTCTTCTTCATGTAACTGGCTACCTTCTAGGTCCAGAGACATCCGCCTACTTCTGAACATATCTGCTGGCTCTTCTTCTCGCTCTTTTTCTGTGGAGGGATCGGTTTTTTCCTCCCCTCCAAAACCAAGCCACCCAGACATGGTTGAAGTGAAAGAATGATCAGTCTTCATGTCTTCTTCTTTACTTTCCTGTGCATCATCAATAGGTTCTCCTCCCAACCCCAGCCATCCTGTCACAGAAGAAGCAACAGAAGCATCGGCCTGCATCTCCTTTGTCTCTTTTTTGTTCTCTCCTTCAACCAAAATGCCAGTTTCTTCTTCCTCTTTAGCTAGACCTAACCATCCTGTCACTGAAGAACCCAGCCAGTAAGAGGGTTCAGACCCACCTTGTTCCTTCAGAGTTCCTGGAGGCTCCTGTACTTCCTCTTGAGTCCCGGCATCGCCAGCATCCCCAGCGTTTTTATTTTCGTCCTCTTCCTCTGCTGAGATTGGAAATTCTGTAGAAACAACTGCAGGTGTTGAAGGACTTTCCGTATGTGTGTCATCATTGTATGGTGTGGTTTGGGAGCTTTCAGACTCCTGGTTTTGTATGTTCTGATCAACATCCTCCTCATCACTGTCCAGATGACTAGAGTCAATGAGGTAACCATACTCATCCATACAGAAGAAATCAGAGTCCTGAATGAAGAAAGGAAATAAGGAATTCGGTTTCATCTTGTACGGATTCAAAAACTACTTACTCAGGGTAAATAATATACCATATATCAGTTTACTGAAATCAATGCCTGTTTACCTGTGTTTCCACTATGTTCTCCTTAGTAGCATAAACCTGCTCCTCTTGCACTGCATCCTTTGGGAAATAGCCAAACTGTTTGTCAATCTGAAATCAAAAGTAAGCAGTTGTGTAAAGCCAAGGCAGCATTGTAGAGGAATGGAATGAACGGCACTAGAAGGACAGGAAAAACAGATAAGGAAACACTTTTTTCTGGGGTTTTCCCTTATTGGGCACTCTATCGACTAAGATTTCTTTAGTCGATTCATCATTTTTAAAGCTTTTCTCATGAGGATGGACTTATTTTCAAGAAACTTATGTGCAAATCACGGGTAAACACATTTTAAAGTGGTACTTTTGCATTGGTCTTTGTGGATTATATTATCCACTTGATAATTGATATCAACTCATTAAGGAAAAATAAACGTTATCTTAATACATTACAAAAAAGACTGTTATCTTACAGGGGGATAGCCTAAGTAAAGGGGTTTTCAAAATAAAAGATAAAAAATAAGTGGTGATTTATCTACTCATTCTGTCTGTTAAGTACATCATTATATAATTATATCAATGAACTGGAGTGTGAGATCCAATCAGAGAACCTGTAGTATCTGTATTGTAATCACGATTAATCTCGTTAACCTACAACCTGAGATGAGGGCTTGAGTTGTGTGTGTTGTGTTACGGCCTAAAGAGAGAAGAGGGGATATATCAGACTCACACTGCCGGCCCAGAGCTCGTTCCTTTTTCCAGTCAGTTTGTGGTAAACAAAGATGGTGTCTCCTCGTCTAAAGCTAAGGAAACGACAGTCCTTACCACGGTGGTCCCTGATGGCCTGCACTCTACTCATCAGGCCTAGACAAACACACACAGACACACTCATCAGTGATTGAAATAGTAAATGATTTAATAAAATATTTCCTGTAATGGTATGGTTTTGTGCATACTTCTTATTGTCATTATTTGTTTTGTTGTATTTATTTGTGAATTTCCCTGAATTTTAAGAGCGGTCTCATGCAGTTTAATGCTGTGTGCAAAGAATAAATAAACAAAACACTAAATGACAACCGAAATAATAATCGTATTATCATAATTAAATAGTTTAGAAAACTGTATAGTGGACCATCATAAACTTTAAGGATATATTAGCAAATGGACACTTACTTTCACATTCAGAGTCTCCACAGATCTTGTAGTCGGACAACATTCCCAGATTCAAGTGAGGTAAAATCACAAACGCTATGCCTGTACACCACAGAATAATGTTGGCCTTTGAAACAGCCATAGTTGATGGTTTAATAGGAGCGTATCAAGAGAAGATGTCCATAATAACTCTGCTTCGCTGGCATGTGGACATTGCCTCTAAGCTGCTGCTGTCATGAAGACTCAATAGTAAATGGGAGAGCTGAGATAAGATATAAGGCCAGCGTTGGGATAATCATTAACATCCAGCTGCTGCTTGGTCACTGGTCAAAGGTTTTTATTTGGGTTTATTTCAGTTCAATGTTAGAGAAGATCATCTGTATTGGCATTTCACCGTGAAATAAATAAACAAAGATGGCGACAGCGTTTTGGAAAGTTTAACGTGTGTTTTATGGACTTCAGCCTTTATCTAAAAATATGTCAACACGTGTGGCGTTCATCACCATGACAACAAACGCCGCGCGCAAATACGGCGTCATCACTCCGCGTGTCAAACCAACCAAGATGGCCATCTAGTTGGAGAGCACTTTTCAACACCTGTGAAAAGTTCATTGTTTTGGTCGTTTTCTGTTGCAAGTTGGCGTTTCATTCGCAGTTGGCGACAGTTTACATTAAGGTTGTTGTAAGGTATTAGCTTAAAAATGAAGTCTGACGTAGAGGAGTTAATGCCGAGGCTGCTGCCCGTTGAGTTTGGAGCCAGTGGAGAAGAGCTGGACCTGAAAGGACCCCCGAGAAACCCCCGGGAATACCTCCGACAGGTCCAGTAAGTCGCCCTCTGAACAGACACACTCCCCTTTAAACCTAATGATAGTGCAGTTTCAGTGTAACGCTATTACACTGAGCTGGCACCGGAAACACTGTAAACATGGTGGATAGTAGAGGGCACGTGTGATGTTTCGAAAGCCAGTACAATGAATATTGTTTTCATGCTTCCATTTCTACACTTGGTTGAAAAATACTCAACTTGCAAATAAGACAACATGGCTGTTAAAGTGCATTTCTTTGTATGTATTCACTATTTTTGTGTGTATTACGAAGTGCGTCACTAGAGCCAGTTGCTTGAATGAAGTGGGCTACTTGCGTTTCCTCCTTTTTATATGGAACACCATTGATTTCACAGTCATTTTTTCATCGTATTAGTGTTACTGCAAATAGATTAATTTAGTCAAACAAAACCAAATTGTAGTACTATTATTTACATTTGAACATTGGAGGCGTTTAACTTCGATATGATAAAACATAAAAACTGACAGGTGATGAAATAATATAATATATAAACCACAGTATACTCTTATTATTTATTTTATCATGCCTACTCACTCCACTTGATCAATATTTAGAAAAAGTACCTGTTGAGGGAAAATAACAACATTATAATAATAACCTATATTTTAGAAAGTATTTATATTTGACTGAAATACCAATGTTTTTGCTTTTCTCCAGGTTGGAGGCGTCACAGTGTCCAGAGGTGGTGGTGGCTCAGATTGACCCCAAGAAACTGAAGAAGAAACAAACAATTAATGCCTCTGTGAGTAAAAGTACACAAACAGAAAAACCTCAACATAAAGTGCAATAAATAATAATTCTAATGCAATTTGTCTCTGTTTTAAATGTAGCTTTGGTTAAGGTAAAAATAAATAATACATTGATGAATGGTTGTTTTTAAAATATGCAATTCCAATAATTGTTTTACTAGAAGTAGGCTGCCCACATAAAGTGTAAAATGAGCGAACAGGGACACATGGGTAATGCTAGCTTGTATGAGATAATATAACATGTATCTATTCCTTCTATTGTCTGACTGTTCCTGGTGTTTCTGTCTCTCAGGTGGCGGGGTGCCATGCTGCTCCGGTGGGGTTCTGCCCCAGCCTCAGTTGGCAGCAGCACCAAGTCAGTAACTTTTCAGATGTCAGACAGGTGAACTAAAACAACCTGGTCTTCCTTTTTTGACTCAAGTCCATAAAATATATAAAAAGCAATGCTGGAAAGGTTTGGTCCATATCAGAGGATGACAAAAATAATGGCTCAGGCATGCGTCCTAAAACACAGGAATGAGTCAGCATTTAAGCACGATTTCCTCGTCTAGAAGTCAACGTTTTTATTGAACATGTTTGTGGTTAGATGCCTGAAATAAGGTCTGTGGTTAACTAGGGCTGCTCGATTATGGCAAAAATCATAATCACGATTATTTTGGTCAATAATTGATATCACGATTATTAAAAAACGATGAAAAAATGTGAACAATATGTTTTTAACAGTTGATTACCCTGAACTTTAAGTATAATTCAACTGAAAAACCAATACATTAAAAAATAAATTAATAATAATAATCGTTTTATTTCGATTACGTTGTTTTCGTAATCATTGCAAGGCAAAATCGTAATCGAGATTAAATACAATTAATTGCACAGCCCTATGGTTAACACAAGCTTAAGATGAGAAAAAATTCTATGACATAAATACGTCAGTTCTGCCTTTTGCCCTTAGAGCATTGCAAAGAACAGGAATCATTGGAGCAGCAACACTCTGGACGACAACGTGGAGATGGTGAGGAGGATCTTAAATATATGATGGTGCAAACTGATTAAGAGATTTAGCATTTGTTATAAATACATTTTCTGTGTGTCGTCCAGCCGGATATAACAGACGAGGAGGGCTGGAAGAAGTTTTGTTTTGGAGAGACGCTCTATCTGGGCACGTCATCCAGCCGGACAGAAGCAGCTGAAGCAGAGCCAGCACTAGACTACAGCAAGGTTGTATTATAGTGATAAGAAAGAGATAAATGAACTATTGTTATTTAGCTGACAGAATTTCTTACAAAGCACTACAACTCATGGAGTTTGAAGAACAGCCTTCAAAAATCTGTAAAAATGTTAGCTATGCCTTTTTAATTAAAGTAGTAGCGGACTGTATCCTACAGCTTGATCTAAAGAAATAACAGTTACATTGTTTATTATTTAAAAGCATGTTGTTAATAAGGGAGAATGTGCAGCGAGCCGGTCAATAATGCAAAACATATATAAATATCCCACTTCTAAAACAGATAGCTATTACTGATCTACTACTTCTTTTGATCTAAAAATGATCGCATTGCTTCCGACGGAAGAAAACAAATGTGTTTCTTTGCTCATGTTACATTTATCAGACTGCACATTGATCAGTGTCCTCCTTAGCCACAATCTACTGGCAAACTTAAAATTACCAATCAAAATTGGCGAGTTTTCAACTACGCCGTGTATTAAAAGATAATAATGAAAGCATGTGTCTGTGCTCAGGTGGGCTTCCCTCCCTTCCTCACGATAGTCAGCAGGCTGAACCAGGTCAGTAACTCTCTCTGTGAACATTTGATTCTGAAACACTTTGACAGTCTGATTAATACTTTCCTCTTGTCTGCAGTCCACGGTGCTGATGGTGTTGGAAACTCTAGTCGGCTGGTTTGAGGAAAACGACTTTGCTCCACAGTTGGTGAGTTTAGTTAGTCACTCCTTTTAATAGTTTGCAAATTCCGCATGTCCAAAGCTGTGATCGTATTGCAATGTTGTAAATTGGAAACCGTGCTCAATTCTTATAAAGTGTCTTTGATTAAGTTAACTCTCAGCTATTAAGTTGGACAAAGACAGGATGTTGAAATTCAGTTCAAAATGGATACGACTATAATCTCAATTCATTGTATTTATCTTGTGATTTAATTTCTAGTTCATTCGTTTTTTTCATCTGGGAATTCTAAACTGTTTTCTTAGAGTATTTCCCTCCCCTCCCAACCTCCATAATATCATTTGGCTTCCCTGAAATGCTATTGTAGGACACAGTCCCATTGCTAAATTATTGTAACCGTGGTAAAGCAGCAATAAGCACTAGTTTTCTGAATGTGGGGAATAAATACTTTTTGCTTTAGTTTGCAGCCCTTTCCACGATTAAAATATTGTGTGTGTGTGTGTGTGTGACAGGGTCGCTGGCTGTACGCTCTGCTGGCCTGCCTGGAGAAGCCCCTGCTGCCTGAAGCCCACTCCTGCATCCGACAGCTGGCCAGGAGGTGTGCTCAGCTCCGCAGTGCGCTGGTAGGATTCCCTTGCTGAGACTGTAATGCTGCCGTCCTCAGAGGTCTTTCCTGTGAATTCAAGTGGAAATATACAAGTTGCCTTTTTCCCCTAGTTTTTTCTTTGGTGCTAAATACAGGAAGGGATAACTGAGTGATCGGTTTATTGGTACATTGTTATTTCTGTAGGAAGACAGCATTGATGTTCATTCATATACATGTTTCTTAGGGCACATGAAGAAAGGAATCGCTTGACTAGTGAGAAAATAATAATCTAAACCAACGGCATGTGTTTTCCTTAAGCCCCGCCTCCAATCCACATGGCCAGTCTCGGCTCAGTCAAATGAATGGACAGACAAAGTAACTCTGGATTATACAACTTCTAGGACCTAATGATGTGAATAAAGGCTATTTAAGGGTCCACACTGAGTAGTTAGAAACAACAAATATCTGTTGGTTTTTTTTCTCAATGGGAAGAAGTCTTTCTGGGCCAAATGATGTCGCGGACTTGCTGCAACGGCCGGCACACTTCCTGGGGGCTGAAAGACTTTTTAAATGTCTTCTCACAGCATGACTTTTTTTCTGATTCCACAGGAGACTGAGGAGGATGAGAAACTTCCTGCCCTGAACCTACTCGTCTGTCTTGTTGCCAGGTAACGAGCACTGTGTCCTGGGTAGTTTATTCTTTGTCAGTCCATATGACATTTAATACATCACGCTGTCTGCCTTTGGTCATATAATAAATCAAATGCAAAGAGTGTAAGGCCTAGTTTACACATAGTTTGAAAACACCAACATACTATCAGATATACTTGGGTGCTAAACACATGCTTATTTCCCTTTGTCCTTCCTGTAGGTACTTTGAGCAGAGTGACCTGGCAGACCAGCCCGAGTGAGGATTTAACTCTTGGACTGTGTCAATGTTGAGGAACATGTCCGAGCCTTTGGGCAGCAGGATGTACTTAAGGACATTTGAAGGTGGCGATAATGTGACCAGGACACGTAGAGAGCTGTGAGGATTCTGCATGACGTGATGAAAGTTGAGGATAAACCAAAGGGATCATGAACTCACTCTGTAAATATATTTGCAATTCGCGTGGATCCCTGCTCATGACTGGACAGCAACCAAAGCAGAAGATGTTATTTGTTCTATTAAACTCATTTGCATAAG